CAATCTGTTATGGAAAAGTTAATGTAGTTTTGAACGGAGGTTTTTTAAAGAAAACACAAGCTAAATGAATTCTTTAATTAAATATATTTTGTAATAAAATTTCTGTTAATATAACTCTGAAGTATGGACATAATTAGTTTTTGTAACAGTTTTTCTTACTATCCCACACTTTTTTTTTTGTTCACTTCCTGTTGGCCCTTAACCAGGAACATGTACATACAAAATCTTGCAACAACAAATTTAATGTTATATAATTCATTTTCAAAGAAATTGTTACAACATAAAAGATGTGTGTGTTTGGGTGTAGTTATTCTAACAAATTATTCCACCCAAATATTAATAATTTCATGTTGTATTAAAATTTATTCTGAGATTTGTATGTAATTATATTGTATTTATGTTTAATTTTCAATATTTCCTCTTATTCTCTTCACATTTTTTATGAAATAATGATTTATGTAAAATGCAATTTAAAAATACATAATCATTATTTCAATTCATTTTCATTCATAAGATATAAGAAGCAATTTTTAAATTGAATTTTATATCTTATGAATGATTTTAACAATGGTAATTAGTACAGCAATAAAGAGAATTTACATAAATCAAGGATTATGTTAATCCTGTATACATAGATGATATGAAAAGTAATAAAGTAATGTATGTTTTGTTTTGTTTTATATATCAAATTATTAGGTCAGATTAAAATAATTCATGTTAACTTATTTGAAAGTATGTAAACTTATGTTTTAAACATTATACAATCTCTCTACACACCAGTAAATATAAATAAAATACTCCTCCAAACCTTTTAACCAGAGTGCTTCTATTTTTAGAATCGCAAACATTTTTGTCGCTCCTCCTGGGCTCTTCTTCAGACTTTATCAAATAGGCCGTTACTGTTCAAATAAACATTTGATATGAATTTCTTCCGAACACCATCATGTGAAATTGTTCCATAGTTGTATTGTGCATGCTCCATAATCATCTCTTTAAATGCTGTTATCCAGCAAAATTAGCCCATTTGTTATGCTATAGCTCTCTTTTCCAATTTAATGGGCACACGTACATGCAAGGCAAAGGAGTCTTGATGGGTAGTCCGGTGTCAGGTGATTTGTGCAAAATGGTAATCAGAAGATTAGAAAACAATGTTCTACCTCTTTTTTTGCACAATATTTTGTTGTATAAACGTTATATTGATGACATTATTATATTTTGGAAGGTGGAACCAGACATAAAACTCTTCCTAGAAGCCATGAACAATAATCCATATGGGTTATCATTAGAAGTAGAACAAAATGACTCTTTGAGGGTGCATTTCTTGGACATTGATATCAACTTCGAAGGAGCTAACATACTTACATCTGTGTACCGGAAATCTAGTACCTTCCCCACATATATTCCAAGAAATTCATGTGATCCTACCCCATACAAAATCGCTGCTTTCCGAGCATTAGCAAGAAGAGCATACACGCACTCCTTGACACAACAAGCTCTAACAACGGAACTCCAACATATAGAAAATATTGCTGTAGCCCATGGATATGACAACACTCTAGTCAAAAATTTGTCTAAAAGGCATGAGGTTTCCCTAAAAGCCATTAATCAGACAGGGCCATCATTGAATATATGTGAGGAAGAAAAAGAGAGGATACCTATCACATATAATCCGACACTGAAATCAATTTATAACATGGTAGCCAAACAATGGGGCATAAATATTGCATACAGAAGGTGTCAAACTGTCTTCAGGATACTAACTAATGGCAAAGACCCACCAAACCCTGAAAGGCTTCCAGGAGTATACACAGTACTGCTAGAAGACAACAGGTGTGATAGACAACTGACATACTGTATATTGGTTACATGAAACGTTCGTTAAAAGTGAGGTTAAAAGAGCACAAGTCAGACATACAACATGGTACAAATACAACGGCCTTAGCAACATACGCATCGGAACAGGAAATAACGGCAGACCTGCACGTGGTGAAAATCATTATAATCAACTCCAACCCACAACAACTAAAATGGCTAGAAGCTATGGAGATATTTAAGGCAGGAAGAAATGGTACATGTATTAATTTTAAGGAGGAAATGGCCCTATCTGTAGCATGGCAGATTTTGCTGGATAACAGTGTTTAAAGAGATGATTATGGAGCATGTGCAATACAACTACGGAACAATTTCACATGATAGTGTTCGGAAGAAATTCGTATCGAATGTTTACTTGAACAGTAACGGCCTATTTGATAAAGTCTGAAGAAGAGCCCAGGAGGGGCGACAAAAATGTTTGCGATTCTAAAAATAGAAGCACTCTGGTTAAAAGGTTTGGAGGAGTATTTTAAACATTATTATTTTTATCCACTTTATTTCATTCATAATTAAAATTAATACCAAAAATTAATGCTTAACAAACTTCAGGAGTCTACAATTTATTTGGATTAAATATTTTTTGAGATTTTTACTGTCCGATCTTAGGATCCATACTTATAGAACAAATCCGAATAAAGAAAAATGTAAAATTTACAATAAATTTAACACAATATTCTAACTGTCTAGCAGTATAGTTTTTGTGTACCTTAAAATAGAAATTAATAACTGTATTTAAAAATACTAAATATAATAAATCTAAGTAAAAACTTTTCTATTAAATGGTTAAAATATTATATAGATGTCCCTCTACATGCTTAATTAATCCAGAGAAATAATCACATAACATGTAAACATGTAAAGTGAGTTGATTTTAACATGGATAAGATAGGAATTGGGGACTAATCCAAAAGAAGAACAAAGAAAACCCATAAATGCCAGAAACAAATAAATTTTTATTAGTTTATGTAATTAGTACAATGCTAATTGTCAGTCTTCAATTGCATGATGAATGACCTGGATCTGATGAGACTGGATTGTCATATTCTTGATCTTGTGAAGGTCCTGGGGTAGTGGGCTGACAATTTTTAACTTTTTTGATGAAGTGATCAAGACTCAGTTGACAAGCAGTATTATCCGTCACTCTATAGAGTTCTTTTTAGCAAGACAAGGAATTCTGAATCACTCTCGCAACTTTGGCACTTCTATCCCCATTAGGGTCATTTTCTTCAATGATTCTAATTGCACTGTCAATGTGCTTGAAAAATTCAGCCATTTGCTTTGTTGAAAGCTGTTTGATGGACTTAAGGACATCAGGTTCTTCCCCTTCATCATTTTTGTCATTTTACATTTTTAGAAACTTTTCAATGGTGGTTCTGTTGAGTGGGGCTGCAGCAGTTCATCCACAAATACACAATTTGCCTGGTCTAAATCCTCAAACCCAAGAAATTTTGCCATATCAACAATGTCATGTCACAAATTGGAAAGTTTGTGTTCAGGATCAAATTCATTTGAATCAGAAACTTTAGGTCAAATCTTTTTTCAAACTTTTTTCATACAGGACTGTTTTATTTCTGCCCATGCATATCAATTGCCATTTTTATATTAAAGTTCTTCCAGAATTCTTTCACGGACATTTAATCTTTGCCATTGGTATCTTTAACTAGCTGCAAGAATGTTCTGGAGATAATAACGCTTGAAAATTGCAATAATACACTTATCTATGGGTTGGATCAGAGATGTGTTTGGTGGCAGAAACAGAACATTAATGTTCTCATTGACATCAATGATGCTTGCAGGATGGTGTATTGTCCAAAATTAGAAGAATTTTGAATTGCATAATAATTTCTCCTTAGAATAGTTCTTGAGTGCTCATAGATTTTCAGAGTGCTAAACCATGAATGGTTTGATTTTATGATCTTCATATGCATTTCCTCCTAACAACAATGTGAGGTGGTCCTTGGAAGCTTTAAAATCTGGGCTGTCTTTTCGTCTATAGACAGAAAGGTTCTGTTTGGCATTCACATCCAGAACAACTGTTTCATCCAGATTGAACAATTGCTAAGGCAAATAGCCATGCACCTTACTTACAGCTTAAAGTTATGCTGGAACCTTGCCTGTCAGTTTAAGATTATAGAATCTATATCATCTGCTAGAATGTTCAAACCACCCAGCACTTACAGAGAAGGATTGAACTTTTGGATCGGAGTCTTTGCCATTCAATTTTTTAAATAATGTCTTCATTGTAGCCTGGATAATCAAAGTGGATGATGGAACAGAATGTTGATTTTCATGTTCAGTTCATTGGGCTAACATCCTTTTCATTTTCTCTATAATCAGTGCCATTATCTGCATTATCTTATCTGTAGATATTCTAGTTGCAATTTTTCAACTTGTTTTATTTTTTCAGCTTGATTTCTTATTGTTCTTAAAGTTGATTCTGAGATTCTTGTTGTTCTGACTATATAGTGTGCTTATTATGTTCATACCGCTTTATAATTTCTTATTTTTCCTCAAGTGATATAGCTTCTTGTCTTTTTCCCTTCAAAGCACCTAGTTCACTCTTACTTCTTTTGTCCATGTTTGTTGTGAACAAGACAGCAACATTACCATACAACTTCTATCTCTTCAACTGCAGTTCAACTAACCATGTGTTGCCTTATCTATGCACAAGGTCATATATCACTGCATATAGTGACTAAAATTTCAACTTGCCATTCAGTTACTTTATCTTTATTTTATTTTAATAAATTACGTTATAGTGAAAACACACAAAGTGAGATCATGTATAACAAGGGATACTTATATTCAAATTTATTATGATATATTTTTGAATTTGTTTTTTATTCAAATTTCTTCTATATGTATTGATCTGAAGATGTAATGATAAAATGTCTCAAAAAATGTTTAATTCAAATAAATTTTAGAGTTACAATAGAGTGGTGAAATTTGAATAGAGTCAAATGTATTTCAGCAATTAAAAAATAACAAATGCAGTCTTTGATTTATGTGCTCTTTTGATTGATACAATTTCAAAAATATATCTTACAAAATACATTGGGCATAGTCTGTAGTTATAGTTGCCTAAATAAAATCATTGATAAACTAAAACAATTTTATTTTTTAAATAGGTGGAACTCAGCCTATGCATATACAACATACAACCCATACAGATAAAATTAAAACAGAAGCTAGTGGAAATTTTGTCACAGTAAGTGGTGGACCACTAACACCACATGCTTCGCCGAAAGATGTGGGTATGGCATCTCCTGATATCACATACAGTACAAAGTCAGTAGTGTCACCAGAAGGGAGAGATGGTAAGAAACTTGCTAAAGGGATAAAAAAATCTTTGGCTTCCTCAATTATTATAATATCAATTTACATAAGATTATATGTCAAAATTTTATAATTAAGTGATTTGGGTCATTTAATTATTGAAATTCATAGTAGTACATCATAATGCAAAATTTTATTTAAAAATAATTCTGTTTTAATTTTTAAATTCATTTATGATGGAAATTATACTAAATAATTGTTTCAGAAATGAAAATATATAAGTCAAAAATTGCAAAATTGGACATTGTTTAAGAATTTCATAGCTATTATATATTTTTAAAATACTTTTATATTATAAAATAATTTTCATAACAAAGCACAAGTTCATTACACTTTATTTATAATATTGTTATTTATTGCATATAAAAATCTGTTAAAATAAATTATTTATATGATTTTAACAATTAAGTGATTGAATTATATATTGAAACCCCACATGGAACTATTGGTTGAAACTACATGGAATATCCAGATGTCCCTACTTTTAATATTTTTTCAATAAGTTAGTTTCAATATTAGAATTTTCTCTTGTAAACTCTGATTATTATGGAATCATTATTATGAATATTATTTATAAAGGAAAGGGATGAGGATTGAAGTACTATGTAGACAACTGCACTTATAGTCAATTGAACAGCCATTTAGAAGAATATCTAAATGTGTCAACTACAGCTCTTGCGTATGTTGCTAGGAACTATAATATCTAAGTATGATGGAAATATACACAAAATAATTATATCTGAATCAAGATGGTACCACTGAGGGCAACAGAGGCTTTAAAAAAGAATCAGATGATCAACACCAAAAAGGAAAATACTAATTTAAATTCATTTGTAGTGGTGTGGAGGACAAAAAAGGATGACAAAGAAGTAACCATAAAATTAAACAGGATATTTATTCAACTATAGCTACTTAGTCCTTCGTACACCTGGTTCGTTTACACTAAACACACTTGATCCCAAACTATAGTACGTGCACAAGTTCGAATCCGTCCGACAAAATTCTATATTTTCACAAATAGAACACGTGCTCGCGACAATAAAAAGATTATGGTTTAAGATACTACGACTACTTAAATCTACCTTAATCTAGCTTATATGCTAAGGAAGAAGGGTGAAGAAATTAAGAGATACGAAGAGAAGAGACAAGTATAAAGGACAGATTTGTGGGGGTACCCGGGTAAACTTGGGAGTCTCCGATCTTCTCTATATCGGTACTTGAATTAACTCAATTTCCTTCCTCTTGATTCCGTCTCTTGAGAATTCGGGAGCGTTTTTTCTTGAGGTCTTAATCTGGGTGTCTTTCTAATTTTCGTCCGTTCGCAGACGACTTCCAAGCCTTCTCCGTTTGTCCCACTAGGTGACAAACCCTTTGCTTGCTGTTTCCTACGTCTGTACACCTCGGACGCTGACCCGAAAGTGTCCCGTTCGTTCTCCTGATGGCCTCAGGGCTTCTTAATGTCCCCTTTGTCTTCTCCCTTTGTCCTTGGACAAAGGTTGTCCCCCACCCACAGAAAAAGAATAGGTTAGAAAGTTCTAGAAACAGACGTTAAAGACAAAGGAATTTAGGAGAAATAAAACTTATATCTACCCCTATTTACAAAAACATGGCGTACCGCCACACATTGACATGATGGCTCAAGTAATATCTCCTTGCAACAATAAGCATGATAGCCTTTATAAACAAGATTGTTTAAAAAACAAGACTTGTACAAGACAGTTGCCCATTTTATATTCTTATGAACAATCCCTATCAGTTGACTTTAAGTGCTTTTCAAATTTCCAATTATGTACTTTGGGGTCCTAATGTTAAACAGAATATTCAATTTAGAATGTTGAGTTTCAAATGTTATTTGAATCATATAGATCTGATGCTGGAACTGTAAATGTTTCAAAACATTTATTATTCTCATATTAAAATATTTTATGGTTTCTTAAACATTTTAAGTGTTATGATTGTCATATTTTATCATCAAAAACAGTAGAATTTGGGCCATATCGAATTCAAAAATTTTAACAACAGATTCTTTTTCTCCCATCTCTGTCTCACTTTTTAGACAAAAATAAAAGTTAGAGAATATCATAATTGTTGATATTTTTATTTAACTTCTGTTAATTAATCAAATTTTGAACATTAATGACATCCTGGTCTTTTATTGTCAACAAACTTATCATCATGTTTCCTAGAATTCTTCAATCTGCCTTAAACTTTTGCAATTAGGAAGAACAGTTACTGGAAATTCATTCCCAGTTTAATGGCCTAAAATTTAGAAATTACAGAACTTTTAGATGCTCATCTGGATTTGTTTGATTTTGAAAATTTGCTTTATTTTCAAAAAATTAGATAAAGTCTATGTTATTTAATCCAAAAATAACCAGAGTAAATTTAATTATAAGAGCCATATTAGTTAAAAATTCTTATGTTGCATGAGAAATACAAACAAATCACTGTACAAACTTCAAATCTTTCAATTTAGGATATGGCATGTGTTAAAAAGTTAGTTTATTCTTTTGTCTTTACACCTTGAGCCCATCTCTCTCTTTTCTATCCTTTCCTCATTAGGGAAAACTGGAAAGTCAAAGACCAAGCCACTTGTCTATACCTGGAATGCAACCACCTAAATTGATCATAATTTTTCTTATCCAAATTAACTTGTCATGCTATTTTTCTCCCACATTTGGATGACAGATGCCAATAGTTCTCTGTCAACAAGATAATCTTTTTTATAATGTTAATCAGTTTACATGTTTTTATGAATTGATTAAGTGAATCCATTAAAGAACCACCAAGTACCAGTTGGTTAAATGAGGAAATTTTAGAACTAGTTATACAATCTGACTGAATCCTTTCACTGATTCAAGTCAGCCTGTGCAAGGACTTTTAAAAGGGTAAGGTTATAAAACACATTATTTTTTCATACTTAGTTTATTAATTTTTATAATATAGGTATATAGAGTAACACAGTATAATAGATTAACTGAATGGATACAAAATAAATATGTTATATACATAAAGATGATGTACTAGCCACTGTGGTAACTTAGGTGAATATCTTAATGCATCTCTAACAATGGAATTTGTAAAAAAGTGTGCTAACATTTTAACCTGGTTAATGGGCCAGGTGTTGAAAGTTGAAAGACAAACTCATTTTTCAACTATTTTAGGATGGCCTATTAACCAGGTTGAAAATGTTACACTCTTTTTTAAAAATGACACTGTTAGAGATGCATTAAAAAATTTACCTAAGTTGCATACAATGTACTGTTTTATTAAGTTTTTAATTCTTCTCAAATGGGGGTTAAACTTTCAAAAGTTCCATGTGTATGGTCTTGATTCAAGTTCTTTTGGGTTCTCTTAATACACTTCAAACACATTTTCTTCTTTTTTAAATATGTTTTTATTTTTATTTGAAGGCATTTCTTTACTTTTATTTATAAAATGAAATAATATAAATTAACTTTTTCAAATATTTAATTTAAAAAATACTTTAATATATAATCAGGACTTGTGCATTATGATGTACAATTTTACAAATGTGAAAAACTTTTAAGTGTTGCAGCTATAAACCTATTCCTTAATATTTCTAAAACAACAACTTGAAAAATACTTTGAGCACTTTCCTTCTCTTCCTTCATTTTTGTGATGTGTTACACTTCCTGCACGTATGTTACTTTTTCTTGTCACCTTTTTGTACAATATTATTTAGATATATTTTTCACCAGTTTTCTATTAATTTCTACTTTTATATCTCTTATAATTTAGGAAATCTGAAATATTTAAAATGCATGGATGTGTCAAAGTTTTAAATTGTCTTCAGCAATTGGTGTAAATTAAATATTGTAACTTTAAAATAATTGCTACTTAGGAACTGATTTTTCTAGATATGTGATTTCTATTACCAGAGTACACACGTACTTTTCTCCTTAAGGAATGCAGCATCATAATTCCATGAATATAAACTCGCCGGCGTCCAGTCTCGGAGGTCCACTTCCTCACAACAGTCCGTACTATATAACTGCAGGGAAGTATCAGGAGAATGGTGATACGTTATCAGATTTTGTCAACTTAGTTTGTCAAGAAGCTCAAAATTCAGGATCAAACACACAAGTTAGTATTGACTTTTAAAAATGTAGGATCTTGTTTTTGAATATCTTACCTATTAGATTACAAAATAGGTTTATATTATTTCTTCAGTATTTTATTTAAAATATTTCAAATGTTATCTGTAGTTTAATGTTAAGAAATTAATTTAAATCATTTATATGACTTATTTTTTATGATCTTTTTATATTAATAACAGAGGGTGATGCATGCAAGCAAACAAGTAGTTGTTTGCATCAGCTTCTAGTAGTATGGCATTTTCAGTAATCCAGCATCGCTCTAGTCCAGTATTTGGATTAATAAATTTATACTGCATATGTAAAAACTTCAATTACAGAAAATTCTTGAAATGAATATCATTCCAAAAGTTATAGAATTGAATAACAGTTTAAATTTAAATTGGCATATAAGTATAAATATTAAAATACTGTTTCAAATTAATCTAACTAAAACTTAATTACAAAATAAATGAATAAAGTTAACTAAAATTAAAGCTTTACATATAAGATTTTTGGGCTGCAATTTGAAAAAATTGTAAACCTATAAATTCCCACTGTCTTTCATCTGTTTATCTCACTTAGATAGATAAAAGCTGAGACCAGATAGGGAAATATTAGGGGTAGAAGGCCTCAATTAACTATATATGAACTTCCGATACAAACGTGAAGTCACATTATTTCAATTCAAAATTTTCCCCCTGAAAGCAGTTAATAGATGACCAGCACAACTCTATTGCTATCAGGAAAAGTATGATGTACAGGGGCAAGACACTATTAATTTGAATTGGAGAGCATATACTTTAAAATTAAATTAAAATATTATGATTAAAAATTGCAGCCCAGCATTGTGATGATGTCACAATAAATAATTGCTCATAAAGATATAAAATTGTTATTAGTTGTTGATAATGATTGATACTAACTACATAAAAAAGTACAGTAGTTAAGTAGTATAAGACAATGTAATTTAACTACTGTGTTTCCCCAAAAATAAGACAGTGTCTTATATTAATTTTTGCTCTGAAAGATGCGCTAGGTCTTATTTTCAGGGAATGTCTTACTTTTTCCATGAAGAAGAATTCACATTTATTATTGAACAAAAAAATTTGAAAAAAGTCGAACTTAGACGAGAGTGACATATATCCAGTCATGTCGAACTGTCGCCTTTTTATAGCATCAACATCGAGCTCGATGACCAATTAGTGCTTACTGAACCATATGTAGCATTATGCAAATGTAATGTGGCGTGATTCCTGGCCGACCAATTAGCCATCACCAGCCGTAACATTATGCAAATCTGTGATTATCAAGCCATAGTTTTATGCAAATCATGCCGTGTGGCGTAATTGTCTGCTGACCAATCAGTGGCTGTACTTTCAAAAAGCCAACGGCCACTTTCAACCATCTCTCGATAACAGTTACGACTAAAAAAAAAACTTTGCTAGGTCTTACTTTCAGGGGGAGGCCTTATATTTAGCAATTCAGCAAAACCTATGGTAGGTCTTATTTTCAAAGGATGTCTTATTTTCGGGGAAACACGGTACTAGTTAATTATGCAGTTGCTTTTTTTATAAAAGCAGTTAAAACTTCTAGTTAACTACATTTAAACTATTCAGAAATAGAAAACAAAGAATTAGAGTGGATAAAAATAACAGTTCAGTTTTCATTTCATCCTTATTATTTAACACTTGTTTTTTTAAAGTAATGTCTCAAGAATATAAGATTTCAAATTCTTCATTTGACATTTGGCAACATCAAGTGCTAAAATTTGTCCTGATAAAGGAAACACATTTCACTGCAGCACTATTGGCAAGAATAGCAGAGTATTTTAAAAATGCATTCTTTACATGTCAGTAGTTGTCTTTTATTAACTGCAATAATTTCAAACACTACAATGATTTAGGTTCAACTTTTTACTTGTTTTTAACTGGTTGACTTTGACAAAAGTTGATACCTTAGTTTCATAATTATAGTCTGTTGATTTTGCATAAATAGGTACTGGAAACTTTGGCAAAGGATCAGACAAAGGAACTTTATTAAAATCTACTGTAGTTTGATTGACTGCTTCATTACTGAAATATTGATGTACAGAAGGTAATTTAATCTGTGACAGGCTCGCATTTAATCGACTTGCTAGTAATTGTGAACCTCTATATGCTGACGCTATTTTAGTTTATTCAAAAGTTGAGTTGGTCATCATAAAAATTGAGACATGTTCTTTCTACTTAATACAATAGATTACTTCAAGGCAACATTAGGGTGAATTAAAAGGAAAACTAGCTAGAGTAGTTGAAACCAAACATGTAGTTAACTATGTACTGTCCATCTCTAGTTGTTGAGCTATGTTAATAATGATTAATATTCAAATATTAAATTTCACGAATGATATCAGCATTAAGTACATACAATAGAAATATTAAAAAATTATTGTGTACTTATTTTTCATTCTCCATTGATTTGCAAAAGTATTTATTGTTAATTTTCAGTAAGGTGTTAGAAAGAATAGGAAGAAACTTTAGACATATTTTCATTTATTCTGAATTTTTTAAATTTATACTGCTTTATAGAATTATCTCTGTACAGCTTGTTTTTTTTTATTTATTAAAATTATATACTGATAATAATAAATAAAATCATCATTTTAAATTGATTATTTATTATAAAATTTAAAGTAAATAATTTTTGATTATGTATTATTTCTATTATATTATATATTCATTTATTACTTATTTATTCTTCCTATCAGACAAATACAGAGTCAGGAGTTCGTAGTCCAACAAAACTTCCTCACTTTTATACAAGTTCAATGCTTCCTCCTCCCCCACCAGCTCCAATGGCTCGGCCTGTGGCTATCATCAGGTCAACTGGTAATTAAAATATTTTTATTTATGCTTAACATGCGTAATGCATTTAATTAGTTATACTTTTGTTAATTTATTAATTTATTTATGTACTTTAATCTAATTTTATATATTCACATAATAATAGGTAGTACCTCACCTCCTGGTTCAGAAACTTCTGGTCCACCTTCAGGTCGAGATTCAAGAAAACAAGTCACTACACCGCCAACTACTACTACTAGTCAGTTCACTTGATAAATTTTATTATAATTTACTTATTTTACTTCATTTTAAAGACATGTGCTAATCTAATTTACATATTTAAGAAAATAAAGTAGGTTCTTATGCATAGTAATTCAAAAATAAACAAGAACGCAAGAATTTTTCTCATTTGATAAATTAAATATTAAAATTATTTTGCAAGAACTATTAGCTTCTATTAAAGTAATTATACCTGTATAGACTAAGTAAAATATTAATCATAGAAAATTTTTTAAACTTCTCAAAATACATTAAATTAAAATTGATTTATTGTTAATTTCATTTAATTTACACTATTAAGTTAAATTTTGATTAAAAGTAATAAAAAACCGTTATTTATAACTAAGAATTTTATTATTAAGGTTTAAAACTTTGTATTATTTTAATAAGAAAATTCTTTAATACCATATATTTAAAATGAGAAATATTTGATTTCAGCTGGATCAAGTACAAGCAACAATGTAGATACATCTATTAACAGATCTGTGATGAGTAGTCCATTTACCTCTCTTGGTCGACCTGAACATAATTTTTCTCATATTCATTCACAACCACCTCAGGTATTTTATATTATTAAATATTAAATATATTTCTTAAAATTTCAATAAATGCATTATTGAATTAAATCTTTAATATTCTCATGCCTTCCAAAGAAACATTAAAAATTAAAAAAAATATTTTTAATTTTAATTTTTTTTTAACTTCAATAAATTCATATAAGTTCTAAAATCAGTGGTGAGTTCTTTTTAATTAGTTTGTGAATTTTAATTAAGCTAAATTGGCTAATGTGTAAATATTCAAAATTCCACAAAACAAAACACAAACTGCTTTGCTGGAGTTTACCTTTCTTTACAATTTGTGGCTGTTGGCCGTGATTGTGTAGATATTTTGTACATTTTTATTTGAATTAGTTTTAAGTTTCTTTCTATATTTTATTCAAAAAAAAAAAATTTCTTCTAGAACTTTCTTTCTTAACCCTTCTCCCTTGGGGGTAAGGCGACCAATTCTTGGAACGTTACACAAACAAAGGAGGGAGTGAAGCCCAGAGACAAAACAGTGATAGAGAAAGTCAGTCTGGGAATGGATTCCGAGGAGAAAGGCACGAGGAAGGCAGTGCTCCTGAATGCAGAAAGAGAGTGAAGAAAAGACAAAAAAAGAAGAGTAAAACAGAAAAGGGACTGCAAGGTGCTGAGAAATTGGAGAGAGAAGTCATAAAAAGATGACGTTCACCAGAATATCGAGACCAGTGAGAAACAAGGAGGTCTACAACAAAAGAAAAGGGTAAAGAAAGTTTATGAAAGGAGAAAATGCCCGAGCACGTGTTTGCGCCTTACCCCAAGACACATTGATATGAAAACCCTGGGTATTTCCTGATCTTTTATTATTACTCGATCCTTCATTCTCATTTCCTATCCTTTCTATTTTCTTATGGCGTTTTCTAACTTTTATTTTTTTGCCAGGGTTGTATCTTCTAGACCCCCTTTTTGAGAGGTTTTGGCTGATTGGCTATCAATTATTCCTACTGATGGAATCTTTAGTTATAAGGTAGTTTGTAAGTTAGTTAGTTGTAAGCTAGAGTTATTCAAAATCGTCCTGCATCTATGTGTTGTGAATTAATAGAATTTTGATTGTTGGTTAAAAAGAAATGTTCAACGCCTGTGTACCTGAGATAATTTGAGGTCAACAAAAAAAGTTGGGATCTGAATAAACAAAAGAACCGGTTCATTGAGAAAAAATTAAAATTTATTTTGTTACAAAATTTTATCAAAGTTTATTTTATTGTACCATTCCGCTCGTGAGATCCAGTGTCTCATTAACGAACATTACAAATTAATAGAGAATAATTTGTAAATAAAGGTGAATGCCAGCAAAGCAACTTGTTTTTTTATTATTTTTAAAGAACTTGGAGTTATTTTTACATTAATTATCCAGAATTGCTTATTTTGATAATTCATTCTAAATATTTTTCCAGAATCACACATATTAATATTTATATTATTTGTGTGAAATTCAGATAAATAATACTTCTTTGTATTTTATATACACAGCTATTTCATTTCATATTGTGGCATTATATGCCTTCGTTTTATTGCATCTGTTTAAAAATACAGATAGATTTTTGAATATATAAATTCATTATTAAAAACATATTTATTTCTTTTTCAAATTGTGTATAATTACAGCTTTTCTCCTATCCAAATATTAGTCCTGTAAGTGCTATGAGTGGTGTAATAAGCCCAACAAATTTAAGCATGTTTACTTCACCTGTTACAACTCCAAGAAATACTCCTAGAAATACCCCTGTACCACGATGGAATCCTCCATTCATATCACTGGACGAAAACATGGACTACAACATGATGGCAGGTTTAATGTCGAGTACAAATCCTGAGACGGATCCTCCTCATATAATTGGTGCTGAAGGTTTGTAAAAATTGTTTTTTATATTTTGCTACAAAATAATTTGATAATATTTTTATTAAGCTGTACAAAGAAAGATTTTTACCATAGGTTCTATTTTTACTTTTATATAAATATATATGTTAGTAATTAATTAATCAATCATTTCAGTACAAAGTTTTTGCTAAATCCTTAAAAATCTTTATGATTTTATTGTTTTTGTATTAGCCTAATTTTAACTTTTAGCATATGGCCAGCACCGTAACTAGCCTTTTATGTGTTCGGTGTGAGCTTCTGTAACTATGCCCCAAAACTATGACCCAAAACTTGGTCCAGGTCATTTCTGTGCCCCCCAGGGTTTGCGCCCTTTGCCTGTGCACCGTTGGCACCGCCCTAGTTATGGCACTGCATATGGCATAGATTTTTTATTATTAAAAAAGTGCCTTATTCTAATCTATGAACATATTTATTTATATTATACAGATATCCCTCGTATAACATGGTAGTTATGTTCCAAAAAAGTGCCATGTTATGCAAATCCATTCTATAAGAAACAAAATACTAATAACAGGACAAAGCAAAACATAGGGTTACATTCCAGAAGTTAGGAAAAGTAAACTATTCTTTTTCATTACTAAAAGAAATATGTTTATCAAAGCAATCCATAATTTATTTCCTACCAATAATTAATTAACAGTCACTATTACATGTTAATATTAATTTTAGTTAAACAAGGACATTTTCTTTTTACAAAGTGTCATTGTCATCTCAGTTTCTTGTTGACCTGATCAGAAGTATCAGTAACATTTTCATATGTTTTATTTTTTATCATAAAAAATTTTTATAGATGACGAATAAAAATGTTATTAATCGAAAATTTGTTCTAGTGGGTCACATTTGTTCAGTTGAGTACTGAAGGACCGCTGTATTTTGTTTGTCACTTTTTACAAATGAAGTAATCATTTGTATTGGTTAAAAAATGTTTAATACACTTACATAAAAATGTTTGAATAAATTTTACTAAATATGAAGATTAATCTATAAAAAGAAAACATGCTGACAGTCTTAAGGGCTAAAGTTCAAAGCAATGACAACAACATCTGGTTGATAGGAAAGTTAGTGCAAATGTTCTCTTTCTTGACCTATCAGTTTTCATTAAAGTAAACCTGACAAAAAGCACAAAATAATTTGAAAATTTCAATATTATAAAATCTGTGGGCAAATTTGAGACAACTTGCATGCTTACTTGAATAAAAAAATATTTCAAATAATGAAGTTTACACTTAAAAATTGTAAAATTTTGTATGGAGGATTTCCAAAACCATGTTAGAGCAAAACTGGAAGTTGTGTTGTACAGGGGATATTCTTAATTTTAAAATTATGTTGTAGAAGTACTGTGTTGTACAAGGTACTGTACTTATTTAAGATAACATTACATTTCACTTTGCTCTCAAAGAATGGAATATAATGAAAATATACAAATTTAATTGAACATTTTAAATATAGTTATCCATGAAATACAAGGACAGGCTGATAAGTTCTTTGCCTAACATACTGTGAAATCCACGAATTTTACACAGTTGTCGGGAAAAAAAAGAAATGTAAACAACTCCGATAGAAAAAACGCTCTTGGTGAGAATTAGATCGGAGGTCACCATTTGTTATAACAATTAGATGGGAAAGTTGACACATAGGTGTCAAGAACGCACCGTTAATGTCAACATATGACGATCATGTGACTCCTTTCTCACAACAAGCAAATAAAAATTCGAGCTCCCAGAAGCTCAGGGCAATTTCATCATATTTGGTGACAGTGCCACCTCGACTCCTGGACCTCTATACAGTGGACCTGATCCAGCCATATGGAGAAGACACTGGTTAGAAAATACTGAGCTCCTACCTCTTCCATACAGACAAGGAGCCAACTCTCCATTACGACGAGAGGTGTTTAGAGGATTTAGAATTTGTAAAAACATTCTCTCTCTCAAACTAGAAATTAGGTCAGTGACATAGTTAAGCGATTAGTTGCCCATGTTGTGTAAATATTATAGCATAACCGCATTTAACCTTAGTATTATTTTCACCTCCTTTAATGTAGATTTAGTTATTCAATAAATGTTTTGTTTATTTGTTAAACCTGTCTCCTGTCATTGAAAGGACCCCTGCCAGCTTACCAACACCCTCCCCACTCACTTTTTGCCCTCTTAGCCATCCAATGACTCCAAGACCAGGTTTTACCAGCTTGTGCAGATTAAGTGGTCAGGAGAGATTAGCCCCTGACTCCCTGCTTGTCTCACAATACTTAACAATATGTATAATTGCTGGAAACACATAATAGAATAAATCTTTGATGATACTTGTATCAAAAATGAACAGTATGTCTTATGTCATTTTGCACAGGCAAAGACAAAATGGTACAAAGCAATGTGCAATTCAACAAAATGGAATTAGCACACACTGATTAGAAAACAGTGATCAAATTGAGTGAACTGAAGTTTGAATGGATCTAACATTCATCAATTTTCTTGACTTGGTTCCCTTGGATTACAATTTCTTTCCCATTTGAAAATAAAAACTGAAAGGAAGACATATAAGCTACAGAAAAATGGTTAAAGGACCAAATTTTTTTAATGGATTAAAAGCTTCATGATGCTATTGCTGGAAGTGCATTAAGACCAAAGGGGGATATGTTGAATAATATGATCATTCATGTACAGTGTTTGCTTCAGTGTTAATAGGCCAAGAATTTATTAACCTGCCCATGTAGTGTTGGAAATTTTATGACCTTATCAATGCAGTTAATTAAATATACTACTTATTATTAAATGAATGTCTGATTTATAAAATTAGCAAATTCTTGAGTTGATTTTCCAATTGTAATTGATCTGAATCTGTCACTCAACACACACAAAACATTAACATGAAAGTAGAAAATCTATTTTTTCTATGAGGAAATAGAAAGATTCATTTTGTAAAGACCTGAAAAACTTGAAGTTACATTTCAAAATATGATATCCTTATCTATTATTTCCTTAACTACTGTAGTAATTGGTTTAAACTATCAATAATAAAGTGGTATAAAAAATGGAGAAATTAACTTTTTTGTATATATATTTTCTAATATTTTAAAGCTTTAATATTTAAAATTATAATCTCCAGTTTTTAGAATAGATATAATATATAATATCTATTCTAAAAACTGGAGATGTACAGTATATTTCCATGTTTTTTACAATATCATGCTAAATTTAAAGCTCTGATAAATGAAATAGAATCATCTGTTTACTTAATATAAGTTCATTTGAAAATGCCTTACCAAAAATAAAATTTTTCTCTTCAAAAACTTAAAAGATTAATCACAAAAGATGAAAATCAATTTTTTTTCTAATAAATTGCTAATTTTTCTAAATTGCTAATAAATTTTACTAATCTTCTGTTATAGATTCAATATAGCAAAGTGTTCTTGTTGTTTAAAGTTATCACATTGCATAAATTTATAAAATGTACTTTCTGTTATATTTGTTTTACTACTTTTTTATATTTATATTTTATCTATCCTATATGTTCTAAGTTCACTAAATTATATATGTGTACATAAAATTAAATGAAATTCTTCTTATTAATTAATTTAATTTGATCTAATTTAAAATATAATTTTAAAATTTTCTCTTCATTATAATTAATAAATCTGAATATTTTTGATTTCACAGAAAGATTCTTCTCAGTCGTGCACAATTCGGAAACTGTAGATACAAGTAATCAGACAGGAAGTGCTCCTTCTACACCTACAAAATCTCAGCCCTCCTAAGAATTAATTTAAAAAAGCCTCTCATTCTTTGATGTACTGCTTAAAATTCATAGAGTAATATAAATTGAAAGAAAAATTTATGGATTGAACCATATTAAAATAACAGAAAAAGTGTTTCTGTGACACGATTGCCTATTTACAGTAGCAGCTTTATAAAAACCTTTTTTTGGGTCTGATATGAAATTAGAAGATGTATTGTCACAACAGTTATACAAGATCAAAGAAAAGAAAGGATATTACGAACTCAGGTATCATGTAATTTGTAATCTCCATTTGGGCATCTGAACTTTTAAAGAGCCTAAAATTTTCATCTGCTCACTTGAAGAGTTGGCTTGATAGCTTGGCCATTTACAACGAGTGTATTTCACAAATGACAAACGAAACTCCAAGACAGCTCTCTTCTTACAAGACACATTTATAATGTGCTTGCCTTACAAAATTATGAAAGAACTTCTGAGATCAGCTTGTAAGATGTCGCTTTCCTTGTAACAATAAGAAAATGAAGCGACTATCTTCCGCCCATTTATAAAACTTTTTGTGTAGTTTTAGATTCTCAGAACGTTGAAATTTCCTAATTTTTGGTAGTAAAGATTTAGAGCACAACTTCCCACTTAGATCATCCTTTGAAAAATTATTAATCTAATTATTCACATCTTCAAAGCAATAGAGTAAGACTAATACATTCTAATTGTTGATCCTACTTAAAAAAATTTGTATTCATCTATAGTAAAGTAAGACTTGCATATAGGACAACTAACTGCTTAATAAACAGCTCAATTTAAAAAAATTAAATCATGATGCAAAGTAATCAATATGCAATAAAACAAAAACAAAAGAAAAAGAAAAACTATATTGTTAAACAAAGATTTAGTTGTATTTTCTACTTCATCATTCAATATCAGTTAGTTGGTTCTATTTGCAAGTCTAAAAAGATAATAGAATCATGCAATGATAATATTAAAAATTTAGCTTTTTGACAGTTCAATTTTTTCCATCAATTTTTCCTATAGGCTGGAAAATATGTACCTGAAATTAGATATTATTATTATTATGCATTTAAAAAAAAAATTATTTTAATTAGAACATCTTTCTTCACTAGATAAATTTAGATTTAAAATTATTCAAAAACTCTCCACTTTCCAGATGATACATAGTACTTAGTCTTTCTCATAATTAAATTGCTCTTAGATAATCTTGCAAGTGAGGAAAACGTAAAGTGAGCATTATGGTGTTTTAATGTGTTTCAAACCAAGAATTTCCTTTTAGTGATTATCATTTAGATAGTTTTTCCATATCTCTACCTCTAAATGAAATTTCTGTTAATTATTTGAATAATTGTTCCTTAGCACATCTAAATAACATAATTTTCTTTTTAAATTTACTCCTTATTTTATTAGAAATAATTTTGTATATAACCTATTAGTTCTTCTGGATGTTATTTTCTTTTAATGCCAGTTTATATATTAGGAAATAAGGAAATTCTGACAATAAATCAGAATGACAATACAAAAACAAGAAGAAGGCCCTTAGAGGATGTGATTATACTGTATTAGGCACGTATCCTCATTGTAAAATAGAATATTGAAAGATTTAGATGTATAGGTATTGCATAGATGCTTAAAGAAATAAATAAATTTGAGACTTTTATAGGAACTTCTTACATAAACTAGGATTCTTTCAACCTAGATTATGTAGTTATTGATAAGCTATGCAAATATACAAACTAAAAATAAAAAAAGTTTTGTTGTCGTCATCATTTTATTTTTGTTTTCTCGGAAGTTTGTGGTTTATTATTTTTTAGATGACAAAGCCTCATTTTGATTTGTGGCTCAGAGCTTTTAATTATATGTTTCATTATCGTCTTCCTTTCTTTTTATTAATGTGCATTATGAGAAGTGTTCAGAAAAGATGTAGAGTTTGTTATTGCTTTTATTTAAATGTATTTTTATGTATTGTAAATATAAAGTGTATTGTACAGCTTTATTAAGAAAGAGAAATTTAATATATTGTGTTGGAAAGTTGTAATTTGGGTGAAGGGAAAACGATAATTTATATAATGGGCATTCTTGCTGAGGATTAAGAATGACTAAATTTAATTACGAAAAAATTAAATGTTATATATATTGCTTTTTTATGTTCCAACAATTAGAATGGCTAGTCTTTTTGAAAAGATGCTATATAAGAAAAATTACAAAATGATAAAAACAATTCTTTTTATCAAAAGCAAAAATAACACCAAAGGGTTGTTTATGAAATTTAATTATTTATTAAATCAATTTAACTCTTGTTGAATAATTTGTTTTATAATGGCCTTGTTTTTATATTGAAATAAGTGTCAAAGTATTAAAAAAAAATCATCTCCACCGTAAGTGCCTACATATCGAGTACAATTATGCTCGGTAAAAAAGAAAACAAGCAAAATAAATGTTTTTTGTGTAAAATCCCACACCCGAAATCGCTTTGTTATAACTGTTAAAATAATGTTTGTTGTACGTCGGTTTATTTTGTTATTATGAAGTGAAAATTTAATTAATATTTATGTTCATGTCATATTTTATATCCTAAATATGTTATTTGATAGAGAAGTTTAGTTTTTTGTTAAATGATTGCAAATTTTAAATGTTTATAATAGTTTTAAAAAATAATAATAACTAATCATTAACTATTGAGCTTTGCACATTTGCTGTTAATTCTATTATACCTCAACAAGGTGCCCATAGAAGCAAATTTGTAGCAAAATATTCAGTAGCAAAGACATTGCATTATTTGTTGTATAAACAAAAAAACTTTTTTTGTTTTTGATTCAGAGCATTAGATGATGAATACATTCAAATCTATTTACAATTTTTCAAAGCCTTAAAAAATATGCATGCAGGGTCCAACATTATTAGATGACTTTCCCTCGAAATGTTATTTCAATCATTTTAATATGTATAGCTGTTAGCCGCTTCATTCAAGAACATTTTTTGTCTTATTTTAGAAAGGATAAGAGTCGATCTGGTCATTGGCTGTCAATGCAAGTCCACACAGCAGGAATTGTCTGTGATAAAATAAAAATTAGTAGATGGTAATTATTGAATTTTGATCAAACGAGATCTTTTTATGTGGAAATTTTTCTTTCTGTGTGCTGTAAAACTGTAGATTTTATTTTCATTTATGATTCAGATTATCTGAATGTAGTGATAATAGTTTCCACATAATCTGTAAATAGTTTACATGCAGGAATAGAATAGTTTGTCTGTTTTAGGATTTTTTTTTTTTTTATTCTTTAACAAATTTGAATGTATCTATATAACACTTACCATATTCGATATATTTAATTTTTGAAATCACTAACATATGATGTACAATATTATTTCTGTGTATGATTATTCTTACAAATGGCCCAATTTTTCCTCTCAATAATGTACAAACGAATCATTACTGCCACAGTTTTTCTTTGAATTTTATCTTGTAATTGGCTTAGATCATTGGCAGATTATCCCAAAGGAAGGTTCGTAAGGTGGTCATTAAAATTTTAATGTAATATTTCCAACAGATTAATCAGTGAAAATTCAAGATTTTCATTAATTAATTCTTGTTAGTTTTTAATTCAATTTTTTATCTAAAACTATTTGTTTTATTTTCTATTGTCATAAAATTGTCAAAGATTTTAAATTAATTAATATATCTCAGCAATCTGTTCTTGTTGCTGTGATAAGTTTAATTAATTGCAAACAATTGACAAATGTTATGACTATGGAACCTCAGAGATTATAATTGATTTTAGTTACTGTTTATTAGCTAGAAAACCATACAAGTTTGAAATATCAAATTTCCATTATTAATTAATGTATTATATAAAATTGTAAAAATTCCTGGTATTATTTTGTAGAAATTCATTAAAATTGTTAATCAATCACCTTTTAAACCTTCTTTATTAATAACTACATTTTTAGAATTACCATTCTAATTTTTGAATGCAATAAGTATCATGTAACCACAAACTTCTACCTCCAATCATTTTTCTTGTGTGAAATATCTAATTAACAAATGAGTTATCGGTCAATGATCTCGTACTGTTACCATTGTTTGAAAATATTCTAAGAAAAAAAAATTCTATTTCTCGTCGGATTTTGTTATTCGTATAAAGAGAAGAAACTCTGTTTAATAATCATGTCATTGCTGTGATTATTATTTTCATTGCCTTCAATACTCTTCGTCCATTAAGTGGGGTTGTTTTTTCAAACAAGTCCCAGATGCTCAAACTAGTTATACTTGAAACAATCATCATCTTGTTCTTTGTAATCACATTACAGCACTTGTGCCAATATGGAATTTAGCCTGAGAGAAGCATTGTGTCACATTGCCAATTTTTGTTTTTTCATTATGTCAAATTGGAATGTTGACTACAAGCTACTACCTCTAGGTTGGACAAACAGTAATGGAATAGTGTACAAATGCACCAATTTCTTGTTGCCTTATAACTCTGAGCCTTTTCGATAGTTCTGTCTATAAGCCGAGCATTTTAACGATGATGGTTTACGTTAACGTAGACTCGAGAATAACGAAAGGTTGTGCGACAAAAATAAGTTTTATCCTCGTTATGTTAAGTGCCGAAGACAACAATAAAAAATGAGCATGGACAGTTGAATTCTTTAAGGTGCCTCTCTAGTTCAATTCAAATATTTTCTGATATAAACTACTAATAAGTAAATATATTTGTACTTCCACCTGTGATTTCTTCCAATGTAACTTTGGAACCATTCCTCATAAAAAGAATATACCTTATAAAGAAAATGGCAAAATAAATGAGGAATGATTCCATTGATGATGTTCTCCATCACTAAATGTGGAGTAAGTGGTATGCACTGTTCTCATTTTGTTGCTGTCCAGCTTTAAATGTATAATAATTTGAAATTTGTTTTCTTTAGATGACATTTTGAAATGTAACTTTAAAAAAGAAATTCATGATTTGGTAAGTCTCAAGCACATAAAAAAAATAAAATCTCATTATCTATTTCTTTGTCTCGTGTCATTTAATGATCAAACATTTCACTTCATATCAAATTTTTATATACAAGGGTGGTTCAAAAGTCTTGTCACCCTCATAAGTTTATTTGAAGTTGTACATTTATATTTTAACATTTATTTCAGATGGCCATCACGAGTCTCTATAGTGTGGAAGAATGGCTCGTTGCAAGTGTATGGGCTCATGAATGTCCACATAGAATATGGCATTGGATCATTTCATGCCACAAAAATGATGATGCTCATACTGATCTTCCAGATGCTTAAACAACAATGTAACAAATGAAACAAAAATACATAGCAAATATATATATATACTAGTGCATTACTTTATTCTACTGTGGTACATTATATTATATTTTATCCATGGGATAGGTAACAAGACTTCCAGACTGTATATACTAAATTATGTTCTGTAATTTATACTTAAAATACATTTTTTTAATAAAAATAAACTTTTACAAAAAATGTGAACTGAAACTTTAACAATTTTATTTCTTCTGTTATCAAAGAAATTTCCTCTGAGATAAGAAAATTCTTCTATTAATTACAACCAGTGCTAAAACATTTCAATTGAATTATTGAGTTTCACAAAATTTTGAATTTCTCTCATAAGTCAATTCTAAATTTGTCATTGGCTTCTTTTAGATCTTCCAAATTACACAGAGAAATCTTTATTGATAAACTCCTTAAAGCAGATATTATCATTGTATTATCAGAATTGTAAAATATGAAAAGCAACTGATCAATAATTGTTTGTTAATGTAAGTTAATATAGTTGTTAGTTTGTTTGCTAGTGTAATAAAAACATAGGAATACAAAAGCATGGAACATATACCTGTAGTTGAGTGGTAAAAATTTCAGCGTTGTCTTTTAATAGAAAGCAAAAACTAAGAAAGATTAATTAAATGGATAAAATGGATAGTTTATATTAAGTGTTGTGTTTGTGTATACAGTATTCTCTTCTATTTATTGCAGAAGAGGAATAAAAGTGTATTCATAAATTAATGAGTCATCTGAAACAAATTGATAAAGTGATATATCATTAGGGTTGACAACTATTCAGGATTTCAATTGTTTTTAAAAATTGTTCAGAAATGTTCTGAAAAATGAATGAAGTATTATGATGTTTTAGCTTGTCCTTTTTTATCATGAGGAGATGGGACCCCTAATTGCATTACAAATTATTTTCATTCCTGATTTTTGAGGATCTGTCTCACTCCTGTGGATATGAAGATTTTTTCAAGCCCATTATCAGCTCGGCCAGACCCACAATATGGTAGTGGGATGACACTTGATATATCTGAAATAGATCACCCATGAAAAATTCCATTCCGGTTGTTCACCCAAAATTGATTTTGGGCCCCCAGAGTGTAGGCTGATATCTCTAGCCAAGTTTCTAGCCGATGATGATGATGAAACAGTCTCTAGCCAAGGCAGTTAGAGACTGCCTTGGCTAGAGACTGTTTCATCATCATCAGGAAAGCAAAAATGTTCCTAAATTTGATTTTAGGCTTTCTTTTGCTCATTACATTTTCAAGTTGGTGTTTTTCACACTGTTCAGAATTTGTTACTTTGAAAGTTGGCAACTTGCATATCATTATACTTTTTAACATATTATTTGTGAGAAGTCTAATTATTGCATAGCAAGAAAATTAAAAATAAAGTATTAATAAATATGTCAATTCAATGAAAGTAGGTACAGATATAGCCCATATCAGTATCTTATCTGTGTTTTAGACCATTCCCACAAGAGAAAAAAATCAAAAGAACCAATAATGGGGTTGATATCCGATTTACGAAAAAGTACCAAAGTATCTGATTTTTCCAAAAATCTGACACTTCTTGTACATTCTCATGAATTTCAAATAATTTTCAATTAAGAATAATATCAATCATGTGGGAAATTTGTTAACTGATTTAAGAATTTATTTAATGTATTATGTAAAATCTTGGGAAATAACAAAAATTTTGAGGGGGTCAATTGAAAAGAATACTTTCTATATGGGCATCAATGCAAGAAAAAGGTTGTGAGCCCATGGTCTGTAATCAATCCTTTGCAAGACATAGCCCCTGGAAATCTGTGTTTGACAATATTGGAGACCCCCAAAAAATGGGATAAAATTTAAAAGAAAAATAAAGAAATGGAACATTATGAGGGAATCCTAGTTTCTTGTATGAAAGATACAAATGATTACTGAATGACAAATTTTTTTTTAATCATTTTGCTTTATTTGATTTATTTATCAAATAATATTAACAGAATAATAAATGTTAAAATAAATTCAGGAAAAATTAAAGTGTTAAAGTGGATATTATCCACATTAAAATTATTTTCTATTTGAAATTGGAAAATGGCATAGTTCATAACTTCATATTCGTAGTAGAGACCAAGACCTGGGACCACAAAAGCATTATAAGTGCAACTTACAACAAACGTCTTAAGTTGCAATACGGCAAAATTTGGTATTCACAAAACTTGTCATAAATAAGCATCATTATATTATGATGTGGAGTGGGTTGTCATAGACAATTCAAGTTGGCTGATGAGTATTTAGCTTTCTTGATTAACAAAATTGATCTGAAATCATCAAATGTCAAGAGAAATGATTTTTAGTTTAATTGAGGAACTGAAACCTTGCTTGGAAAGACCTACATGTCATTTATAGCATACTATTCTCTTAATCACATTAAAATTATAAACAAGATTGTTTTATAATTGATTAACAATTATATAAAAGTTTCACTAGCCTTTTTTCTTTGAAATGTTTTTGTAATCTTTCTCCATTTACGTTGAATTTCATTTATGCTTCTATGAACTGTACATTACTAACACTACTCACTTCTTTGCAAATTAATCTCCAATAATTACCTTTTCTGCAAGAAGTAATAATTGGATGTATCTTTCCTTATATTGTTTTTCCTTTTCTTTACTCTATCTATCAATGCCTGTACTTTGGAAGACATAAAATGATACCTTCTTCTCTCCCATTTTATCACCAAAACCCGTGTTGGAGACAACTAGCGCCATTTCAAAGTTCCCAGATTATATTCCTATTGGACAAAATAGGATACTCAAAATCAGATTACTGATATTTTGTCATAAATAGTAAATCCAGTTATAATGAGCTTTGTGAATTTCAGATACAAGGTCGTAAATTTGTCGTATTTAACTATGTCACAGGAATACAATATTGTAACTAATAACATTTTTATGGTGATTTGTACTTTCAATATCAGTATTACTATAATCGTTTGTAGAAGAGTTCAGCTAAAATTTCTGAAGTATTTTCTACATGGCACCTACAACTGCATTTACATGCACCTAAACTAATATAAAGCTAAGAGAAAATATATCAATAGCAATATTAGGTGGAGTAGAAAAAAATAACCTTTATTTAGGGTAAGTGCAATTAGTGTGCTTATTCATCTCTGATGCATATTTTGATTACAAAGGAAATATGTAGAAAGTTTTGTGTAGTACTTACAATATTAGGAAATATAGTAACTGTATGCAGTATACAGTGCAGTGTTTTTCAACCTTTTTCTAATAGTGACAGCCATACTTTGTAATGATTTCTTGTGGCATCTACTTTATCAACATAGAGTTATTGCACTTTTAGTAACACACTTAAGAAGTGTTATGGCACCAATCAGGGCACAGTTTAATAACTAATACTGTGAGTTAACATCATAGGTCACATGTGCTTTCTCAGTTGCTGCCATCTTGTATTTTCCCTGTTTATGTCAACAAATCTGCCATTCTAATTGGTAGGAATATTTTTTCTAGCGAAAACTTCAACAAAAACAAACTTTTGCTGGAAATGACATCATTAATGATGCAGTGGCAGATTACCCAATAGTCTTTTCAATTTACCAAAATGTCTATTCAATTTTTAAACTTTTATCCTAAACATGAAATATTTGTGTGAAATTAAAGTGATATGTAATAATTTGAAGCCTCTTCGGATGGCTGAGTGGATAAGATAGCAGCCTATTGCTCCAGAGAAAACAAATCTAGACGAGTCAAGAACCCCAAAAATTTTTCAGGCCATGTTTGAATTCTAGCAGATCCTCAAACATTCTAATCAATAAAAGGACAGAAAAATTCTGGTAACATAAAATGCATAGTCTGATGAAGCAGCTTTAATAAAGCTGTGTTATCCAGCTTTTATTGATTGGAATGTTTGAGGATCTGCTAGATTTCAAGTACAGCATGTAGTAGAAAATCTTTCTGTAACTCAGTTGTGAAAACTGATCTGTGATTTTACACGATTGTGTACTAAATCACTAAATACTAAATACTAAATCAAAAAAATGTGATTGAGATGTGAAACCAGAATGATTGTAAAACAGGCTTTTTAGTTTACTTTTAGTAATTGAACACTTATTAGTTAAGTGAATGGTAATTGGTTAACTTAGGGTTGTCAACTCTCCTGGAATTTGGCAAAATTTAAAATTTTTCACCAAATTCTGGGTTCTGGGAGAGTTGGCAATCCTAATATAACCAACTTATGAATTGAGCCATATTTACACAAGATTATGAATTTTTGGAGTATGTATTAAAACAGATTAAAGAATAGGCAACAGTATTTTGATATTGCTGAAAGTAAAAAATATCAAATCTGAAATATTTTATTCCTAGAATGGAAAACTGTAAGAATCAACTATTCAGGATCCTGTATCAACTGTATCAATCTCTAACTGCATGTACAAATATCACCTAGGATCAATGGTGACCTCCATGGTTAAATTCAAGCTCATAGTTGACAGGAAAGAAATGTGTTTAACTATCAACAATGAAAATTATTTAAAACTTATAAATAGTAAGTAAAAACATCATTATTAAAATATCCAATAAGCTGTGATGAAAATGTAAGTATTAAGAGAGAATTTTGTGAGATTGTAAAGCAAGAATGTATGGCGTGCACTTTCCATTTTGCAGTTTTGTGAACAATTTTATACACAGAGTAAATACGATTTGATCCTACTTGTATACTTTCTGCCAACCAACACGCATGACAGAAGTGATCTGTATCACGTGACAAAGACTGATCGATATTACAGATTGATTGATCTGAAATGAAAAATATATGTATCCTTAATGTTTAGTGTGTTGTCCATCTCCAAAACCCAATAAACATAACCAAACAAAAAAAAATTTTAAATATGGTAAATCGTAGTAAATGTATATAGAGGAGTGGACCCACCCCATCATCCCACACTCTAAGTCTTGAAAAACATGACCAATAAAAAGTTTTTTTAAATACATTAAAATAATTTTACCCTGTGGACACCAAGAGAGCCTTTTATCAAGTCCATACTGAGTTTGAACAAGCCTACAAGCTGTATGGTGCAGTATGAAGTCCAACATATCCAAACTAAAATATTTTCTGCCAACCTGATCTAGAAATATACTTGAGTCTGTGGCAAGAAATATAGCTTTAGCAATTCATTATAAGTGATGAAGCAAATATTTCTGTAAAGCAAAGAAATTTCTTGGAAAAAAAAGGTAATCTATGAAATGTATAAACATAAGTTAGTACTGTATATACCTTGTAACCTTATCAGGAAAGTCTAGAATTCATAAACTATCATTTCATTTTGTACCTTATAAAATTTTATAATTAGAATAACTATGAAAAAACTAAAGGCAGATATACACACAAGGCTTGTCAATAAAAACAGCAAGTTTACAGAACAATTATCTTTAGTGACAGAACTTAGTAGTCTGACAAATGCCCATTCAATTTTTGCAACATTGTCAGTATTCCTGGACTTCTGGGAGCCACTAATAACAGACTTGTTGCCCACAATTCTGACATTTTGAACTGATAACACCTTGTCTTTTATAGTAGTGGAAAATTTGAAAGATTTCTATATTAAAAGAAAACTTGCCTACACATGTTAAATTATTTCATTTTCTTATTGAAATAAAAAAATAATTTAAAAATAAGGCATTTAAATAAGCATGGCAATCATTTTTGTTCATCTTAAATATCTGTCATCTGCATATTAAAAAAAAAAATGCCACTTGTGTGGCTGCTCTTCAGCAGATGGCATTACAATTTTGAAAACCTCTTTTCCACATGTGCATCTTCTTGAAATATTAAAATCCACAAACATAAAAAATGTATTTAACAGAAAAAATTATATTTCTTGAGACTATACATACAAGATGAGTTAATTTCTTTCAGTCCCTTCACATGCTGTTGAGGTAATAACAACATTTTTTTTTAAAATGTTTTTATTAAAAATTCTGATAATGAAATAGCCAAATTAATCAAAATCTGTTTAATCTTTGAGCATTATAATGAATAATACTAAAATCCAAGTTTTCTATCTTGGTCTACAATTCATCTACGAATCAATTCATAATTTTAATTGGTAAAATTTCCATTTCATGTTTTCTCTTTCAAATCATTTGTATATTTATTATAAGTAGATTTTATATATCAATTATATATAGGTTTTCTATTTTATTACACTTCATTCTATTTATGTACACACAATACATACACTTATAATCTTTATACTAATGTTATAAAAAATTAACATTTTTTTTTGTCAAATTTATTTTTACAAATCTTATATTGCATATATACATACATAATCAAAAATATTTTTTTCTTTTTCAAAATTTAAATATTGTAATTATAATTTTATTCTAAAATTGTATTTTTGTCTAAATAGTTTGATTTAAATATTTAATCTTTTATTGTCTCTAAACTTTAATATTAGATGGCAGCATTTTTCATCTGAAACATGTAACGTGCACTGCACTTTAAATTCTAAACATTAAATTTGTTTTAAGACACTTTCAGAAGACTAAATATCATAAAACAGTTCTTTATTATTGTTTTACGATAATAAAATGCACTGTTTATAAACAATCAGAAATCATAATTTTATTTATAATTTTTACAAATAGAATATAGAATAAATTTAATCTTTACAGGTATTTAAATTAACACACTGCTGACTTATTGTAATTAAACATGCAAGGCACATTTTCATGCATTAAATAAAAACAATCTATTTAAAATAATTGTTAAAATGATTGCTGTAGAAGGAAATGGATTAATCTTTCATTATAAAAAATATTTCTAAATATAAATTACTTTAATTTTGATAAAATGAATTTTCTTGAAAATATGTTTAAATTGTACATATTACATATATATATACAAGCTCAAATATAAAGTTTTGGACATACATATGTCTCCGATAATATAAAATCTACTCCAGAAGTTTTCATATATGAAGTCATACTATGAGAAATTTAAGTCATTGTTTTAATAAATAAATGCCAGAATGAAATTATTTTGATGCAGAATTTGCATTACTATTATTGTATGATATTTAATTAAGCATTATTAATTAATTTACATATTCCAAGATGTATTAGGACAATAAGGATAAAATGAATTAAACTAGAATGTACAGACTAAATTATATAAATTATGCTATACTTATGGCAAACAACTGTTAAGTATTTCTTTAGTATCATCTGAAAGTTTATCAGGAAAAATTATATCAAATTTTACAATAAGATCCCCTCGTCGTCTTAAATCCATGGGATGAGGTAATCCTTTCCCTCTTATAAGCCTGGTAGTTCCCGGTTGTACATTTGGTAATTTAAATGATATTTTTTCACCAGATAATAATGATACGTCTACACTTGCTCCACATAAAGCCTAAAATAAATAAATATTAAAGATTAAAATGATTTTATAAATAATTTGAATTAAGGATTTCAAACAAACTGATAAGTATTTTTTTTGTTTTTTTTCATTTCAATAAGACTTTTCACACAATTTGAATCCAAATGATATTATAATTTGTAAATATAAAAAACTGTTTGATTCCATATTAAATTGCATATGAAATACCATACTATTTTATATAAAATTTCTAAATTACCATAGACTACAAAGTTATTTTCTTATTTAATAATCAGGAGTTACTGATCTTTAACTAAATTTTCATTGAATACTGAAAAATGAAAATGATTTATGCTCAGGAATAATTAAAACTGGAAGATTAAGCATAAAAGATATATAAAAAAAAAAAATAGAAATTTAATAATATACAGTGAATCTTAATGTACTTATATTTTACAAATACTGTAACATCATTTGGTACACTTTAGCAGATTTGAAATCATTTATTTGAAAACATATTACATCTCTGAAAATGTAAGAATTAAAGATTGAAAATCTGTTAAATTATTATTATATTCTGTTAAGAACAAGTTTATATTTAAAATTTCTAATATTTGAAAAATAAACATAAGTTACTTTGCTGTAGTTCATCTTTATTTATAAATTACTCTCTAACACTTTCAGACAACCAAGTTCAAGATAATAATTACTAATTAATTCATTTGAATGTCTGCTGGCATTGGATTGGTTGTCTGTAAGAATTTGTCCAAAAATTAGTTTGTGAATTTTAAATAAGGATAATTGGCTAATGAGTAAATATCAAAAACTGCAAAAAACAAACTGCTTTCCTTGAGTTCATCTTTATTTGCAAGTGCTAGAAAATTATTTATAAATGAAGGTAAATTCCAGCAAATTTGTTTTTATTTTTTGTTATTTGGAGAAATTGGAGTTATTTTCAAATAAAAAATGAATTGAACATTAAAAATTAAAGTATTAAAATAATTTATATATTAATATTTGAATGAACTACAAAAATAAAGCAGGCTATTCAAAATAATTTGTTTAGATGTTTAAATATTGGTTAGAAAATGGTACATTTGTTTATGGTAGGTTTCTACAAGGTCATATAAACTCCCAATAAGAAAATGCCAGAATGTAATTACCTGATACCAAAATCTGGCAAGGACAGGATAGAACAATTGCTGGATTTTAAATTAATGACTTTCTAAGTGCTTCAAATATCTTTGATGTTTAATTTTCTTTGATTTCATATGTTGGATATTATTGTCTGCTGATCATTAAAAGAAATGATAAATTTAAATTAATAAATCAATTAAAACAATTTCAAATTAGGAACAAACAAATAATGATGTGGAATGGATAAAATTGTGACATTTGATTTTAGAATAATTCATAACAAATATTTAAACACAAAGCTGAATTCATAAAATTGTATGATATATATTTTGAAACATTCACTAATCCATTTTAATTTAGAACATGCATGCAAAATTAATAATGAAATATAACCTACCTCACGCAAAGTGACATTGGCCGTATAAATAAGATTACTGCCTTCCCGTTTAAATAATGGATGTGGTTTATCTTGCACAATAAAAACAATATCTGCCGGAATATTATTAGGAGTTTGATCACCTTCTCTTTTAAAAGTAATTTTTGTTCCTGCTTTATATCCTGGCTTGATGGCCACCGTAAGGATCTTTTCTTCCCTTTTTATTGTTTTGTGATCAGAACATAATACATTACGACATATCTTCATCTTTTTGACACAACCTTTCGCAATATCTTCTAAACCAATAAATAATTCGTGTTCTATTGGTGGATCTTGTTTTAGTCTCTTTGCCTGATTACAAGGGCCTTGCGACTTTGTATGTGCTGGGCGATGAAAACCTTTTTGATTAGTAACATTAAAACAATTTTCAAAATCCATTTCATTAAACATACATCTATTTCTAGCATTCATTCCATTCCTAAAAAACGACTCAAATGGACTATAAGTTCCAAAAATGTTTGTAAATATCGTCTTTGGATCTTCACTAAACATATACTGTGCCTGGTTATTGCTAGCCTTGGAAGTTGCACCACCTTTTAATCCTTCTTCTCCAAACCTATCAAATATTTCTCTTTTTTTCTTATTACTCAATACATCATATGCTTCAGCAACTTCTTTAAATTTGCCTTCTGCTTCTGGTGATTTATTCTTATCAGGATGATATTTTAATGCTTGCCTACGATAAGCTTTCTTAATTTCATCATCTGTTGCTGCTCGACTAATTCCCAAGATTTTGTAATAATCTTTCCCCATTTTCAATTAAAAGTTTGATCTGTAAAATAATTGAGTAAATAGTCAATTAAATAAATATACTTAAAATAAAAATTTAAATCTAAAAAAATGCAAATTAAAGCATTTACCTATTGAAAAGAAAATAACAAATAAAAAAATGATTTTCATCTCTCACTCAATGTGTAATGCAATGTAAGACTGAGCTTAACAGATCTATAGAATGCCAGAAACTAGTTATTAATCGAAAAAAAAAATTCCTTGAAGTTTCTCCTCCTTACCTCTACATTACAAACCAGTAGATGACGTTTCTACTTTATCAATATATATAATGACGTTTAGCATTTCGTTTCGAATATTTTAATTAGCTTTATCTGTTTGTGTTAAAAATTATTTAAAATTTAAAATTATTTTAATTTATTCGTACAGTCTAAACAGTTTAAATTTATTGAATTAGTTACACTAATTAGTAAATTTTACGTGCTTAAATATCTATAAAATTAAAATAATTAAACATTTATTTTACTATAGAATTTTTCTAGAGAACTGTAGTTTTGTGTAAAAGACATTTTGCATGCTCCACATAATTGGATCAACTTTGGGAGTTTCAATTTAAATCGTACCAGAAAAACTTTGGTTATACTATTCTCTGTAGGTCTTTCTTTCTTAAAATTCTTTCTGACCCTTGTGATCAGATTAAAGTATTTTGTTTTTAAGAGTCTGTTAATCTTTTGTTTAGGGACGTGATTCTTCTGCTTTAAATTTGATTCAACGCTTATGAAGTTTGGGCGCATTTGACAGTTTGTTGCTTTGTTGTTAATATTTTGTCTGTTATAGGTAAACAATATTATTATTATTTTATTTTATATTGGCAAATGTTCTCTAATTTAATTTAATTTAATTTTTCTGATTTTATTCTAATTTTGTAATTTTGTATAGAATGTACAGTCGACCCCCCTATAACGTACGTTCCTATAACGACAATTCCTATAACGTAGCGAAAAAATTGTAGCAACTTTCGTATAAAGTACCTCCTATAACGTCGTTTCGCGACAAGATTGATAGAGTCTGGACCAATAGTGGATGAGCAGCCGAACTACTTTCCTCNTATATTAAACAACTTCTCAAAGTTTCACGGCAATCGGATAAACGGTGTGGTAATGCATGAAGGACACACACACACACATTCATTTTTATATATATAGATAATTAAAACAAGATATCATTATAAAAACCTCTCTTAAAGACATTATGATGAAAACAAATGATCATTAATGGATAATATTAACAAGTTTTTTAAACTTATAATTCAATTAAAAGTAAAAACTAAACATGTAAGTAATCTGGCTCAAATCATTACTGTACTTTGTATAATTTACTGCACTCTGTTCTGTAGATCTGCACCTACCCACTACTGACTTTTGTCTATTTATAATTTATTATATTTTATATTTGTTTATGTTACTTATATATACATATATAAATTTATAATTAAAAAAATAAAAATAATAACAACAGTAAAAAAAAGAATAATAATAATAATAATAGTGAAAAAAAAAAGTAATAATAAATATTAATAATGACAATAACAGTAAAAAAAACCAATTGTTGTACTGTCTTGTGTTTTCTTTTATGTTTCTTGTCTTAATATGTATATTACGTTTGGGTGATGGTGTCTACAACTATATGTTACTAAGTCTTGGTTTAGTAATTATTCTTGTAAAATTCAGCTTTAGTCCTCTATTTTTATTTTGTTTAGTATAATAAACTATATGTATGTACGTACATGGAATGCTCAGAGGCTTAATGATACTTCTACTTCTCTATCCCTTCTCAGTATATTACATGCTGTTGTACCACAGACTACTGAATGGGTAACCTCCCTGGTGAGTCATTCTTGAAACCAAATATATGTTACGGACAAAGTGATTAATATGGGCATTATTCATAATGCCCAGTCATTATGAATAATGCCCATATTAATCACTTTGTCCATAACATGATACAATGCCTGATTTTGTTGGTCATTATTCATAATGCCCAGTCATTATGAATAATGACCAACAAAATCAGGCATTGTAATAAATTTCAATAATTTATCAAATTGACCAGTCATTATGAATACTGCTATCATCTAGTCAGGCAAAGTGATAATAATGCATCAAAGAGTGATCATCCAAAATACACTAGTCAATCAGCACTCGCATCTGAGTTGCGCATGTGTGTTGCATTTAGTATTGAATTTGGGGTGGTCCCGGAGAGCTGCTGCCGGCAGGCCGCGTATTGTTTAACATCACTAGATATTGATTCACGGTAGTTCTTGAACACACGTATCAATAACTAGTATGTATCAGTATCTAGTGATGTTAAACAATCTGCGGCCTGCTGGCGGCTTCCTTCCAGGAGGAATTCGTCGGGAGCACAAACAGTTGCGATCGCTGCCATTATGGTGCACATAGGTAAAATTTTACCATTTAATTAATATAGTTAATAGTACTTAGTTTTAAAAGATTACATATTTTTTTAAATACTTTGAAATAGTTCACAAAAAATAAATATTTCTAAATGAAATAAGTGGAGTTTTTTAATCAAATTAAAATGTTGCACAATTTAAAATTCAGTACTAAACACAATACGCACTCAACACTATATGATCAGCAACTAGAGTGCCAATTGGCTAGTGTATGTCGGATGATCACTTTTTAACGTATTATCACTTTGCCCGACTAGGTGATAGCAGTATTCATAATGACCGGTCAATTTGATAAATTAATGAATATTTATCACACTGCATGCCCTTTTTGGTCATTATTCATAATGCGCAATTAATCACTTTGTCCATAACATATACACTCTTGTAACTCTCTTAGTGCTCTATGAGCGAGAAGAGCGTCTCTCATTAACTGCCAACTTTTACAAAAAAAAAAAAATCTGGCTCAAACATTTTACTAATCAAATCATTAAAATGCAAGAACATCTCATACTAACCATTATTTTAATAATTTGTTTGGAGGTAAGTGGTAAATTGACTTATTTTTTTAATTTATTTCTAATTATTAAATTTATTAAGAGACAGAGGCTTAACCACTACCTCTAAGCCAAATTGCTTTGTTTCTGATCATTAAAGTAGCTACAATTTAGCCCGATAAAAATCATGCAGATCATTTAGAAAAATATATAGTAAAAATTAATATAAATTTTTATAATCTTCAAATCAAGATATTGATAAAAATATAAAATACATAAAATTCTCAACTTTGTAACAAAACTCCTGAAATGATATACTCATATTTATTTTAATAACTGTATTTGTGTCAGTGTACTTTTATATATTATATATATATAATTATACACACAAATGGATATGTGGCAAAAAATAATTTTATCCCACAGCCAAAAGAAAATTACAATAGTTAAAGGTCAAATGCTGGCCTTATCATATATTTAATTCATTAATTTTATTACTTCCACTTCCTGAGGATTTGCTTCTAATTCATTTTACAATCTGTGACAATATTATGATTATAAAATAATAAATTCTACTCTAAACTTATATTCATTTATATATAACTAATAATTTAATTAATAATAAGTAATAATATAAGGTTTTATAAATAAAATTGAGATTGCTTATTTAATGCTATTACTACAATAAAATTTATACACAGTGGAAAATTCATTTTAAATTAAACTTTTAAAATTGTACTTTTTATAATGGAAAATGATTAGTTCAATTGAATAATAATTATAGAAAAAAATTTACTATTAGTTTTATTACTAGTGATATTACTAGTATATATAGTTATTTCATTTTATAATTAAATGTTTAGGCTTATTTGATCTATTTTTTAAAACAATTTTTAAACATTATTATGATGTATAGTATAGTCTTGTTTTATATGGGTGGTTGTATGTCAGCAAGTACCTTATAAAATGAAATTCTACATAAATCCATGCTCCACCCCAAGTGGTCCAGATGATTGCCTACAAACTTATGCAACAATTTATGATTAACAGAAAAATGTTAAAATGTGTTTGATGCTATTCCTCCTGTTATAGTTTCCATTTACTAGTGTCAAAAGTTTTAGTTTTTTAGAATTCACAAACTGTGCACAACTATTTTCTGTTTTCTTTACATCTGCATTAGAATTTTCTATTTTCATTTATCTTTAATTTTTTCTTAAAAGGTTAGAAAATTGCTTCTAATTTTTACACCATTACTTTTGCTCCATAACAAATTTCATAATAAAAATAGACAGTATGGGCATTAATAATCAGAATTATCCTTGTGTATCCAAAGGTTAACATTGCCATTTTCTATCTATGAAAACAAATTATTTCTACATGTATCAAATTCAGTGTTATTCAAGAACTAATATATTTAAAAACATAGAATGAACAGACAAATGCATATTATAATTTCATTTTTATTTATATGCAATTAGAAAAGATTAAGTAATGTTTCAAAATAATAATACACCAAACTCCTGATTATTCATGCTAATTAGAGCACAGGTATGCCTAGAAAACCAGAAAACATGGATAATAGCCTACTAAACTATAAAAAAAAACCATTCCGAGGTTTTAAATGAACTACATTATATATACAACACAACTCTTATAACACAATGCAAGTGTGAAACTGAATAAGCTGAAAGGTATATTTAGTCAATAAATATAAAATGTATATTTTTTTATCAAAAGTATTGGGTAGAAATTTAAATTTTACAATTTGATTCCAAAATTTGATGTATAATTCTTATATTTTTTTCCAACTTACTGTATTTTAATTTTAGAACTAGTATGATATGTCTTTGTTTTAGATAAAGTCTGCTGTTTATAGCACCAACTTTGCCTACTGCAAAATAATATTCCATAGCTAATGATTCACCTCACTTCCATCTTTTACAGTTAACAGTTGTGAGAGAAAGAAAAGCTGAATATCACTTATGATTTTACTTATGATTATTTTACAGTAATTCTAATACCTTGATGATGCAGATAATCAGAAGTTTGATGTATTTAAATAGATAAAGGACATTCAAAATAAAATTAACATTGATATTTTTGATAAATATAAAATATTTTGTTCATTAAAAATGTCATCATTATTAGTCAGTATGTTTAATTTTCATTTAATATTAATACCAAATATATATTTTTTACCAATTCATTTCAGCTGAAATTTGTTTTATTAACAAAGAAAATCAACTCTTGTAATCATAGCTGTAGCATGAGAGTCAGAAGCAATTCCAACTCTCACTCTACAGCTGTGATTAGAGTTACTGGACTTGGAGTTGGTAAAAGTGGACAGACTCTGACTGCTAATAAATATAAAAATTGTAGTATAAATAATATATGTTAAAATTTCTTATTTCACTGGTAATAATTTATTTATATCCTATATTGATACATTAATAAGGGATTCGGAATCAAAGTTACTATAAACTGAGGAGTCAAAGTGTTTGTGTATAACTCCACAGTACCGGCTCTAATTAACAATTGACACATTTAAAAAATGATTAGTTATTACAAACACATCCATAAAAATTCTTTATATTGTGATATTAATGTTAAATAAAAGTATATATATATATAAGATGTTTGTAACAATTGGACAGAACTACTGCTTAAAATATTTTGTTTGGAGAACCAGTTGTTAAAATTACTTGTAATATTTATTTTGGCAATTTATCACAAAAGTTTGCATTTGTGTAAGACTGTCAACTTTTTAACAGCTCAATGTAAACTTGAGCAAATGAAAGTACAATATAGCAATAAGTGAGAACGTCACACTGTTAAAATTGTAACTGGTCTACAACCACCTGTCACAATCAAGCATTTAATGTACAGTGGTACCTCAGGATACGAAATTAATCCGTTCCAAAACTGAGATCGTATCATGAAAATGTCATAAGGTGGATCATCTTTTCCCATACGATTACATGTAAAACCAAATAATTCGTTCCAACGCGAAAAACATACTCAAATTAAAGCCAAGTAATACATTAAACAAAAAATAACTGTAGTAAGAAAAACAAATGAAAAATGTGAACTAATGTAACGTCGTATGGTGAGTTTTTGTTCGTATCGTGGAGCAAAAATATGTTCGAATTTCATGTCGTATCCTGAAAATTTTGTATGCTGGGGCGTTCGTAACCTGAGGTACCACTGTATTTGATGTTTTCTGTTCAACTCAGGGGTGCAAGTTATAAGCTCCAGGCACAAACATCTGTGTTTCTGGTTCCAGGAAAGGTCGCATCTGTTTATGTAGTGAGATGATGTCACAAGCAGTATTGGCCATTTAGAAACGGGTTTCAGAATATTCGCTGTAAAGCACTGCATAAAAAAACGCACCCAAATGCAGAACACTTACAGGATGATTCTGCGTACCTTTTAGGGTTTCTGAAATTTTCTAATTTCCAGGAAGGGAAAACACTATTTAGTAATTACCAAGAAATACCAGGATTCATGAATTTTTTTAGTTTTTCTTATTTAAAAGTATCTGTAAACTGAATTAAATAATATATATAATAATTTAAATATACAACGTTCAAAGCTAAATGAATTTTATTCTTATTTCTTAGTTTAATAACATTTTAAAAAATCAAAAGTACAGATTGATTTATCAGCAAAACAGCTTCTTAATTTTGTTAGTAATCCAACATGGAAAAAATACTTTCATTTTCAGATGTTGGTTTAATAGACAAGTAATATGATATAATTGACATTTTTTTAATAATACTTTTCATTCTATGGTCATACAGAGCCTTGTTTTGAAGCCCATCACAGGTTTGGCCATTTTATTTTGTATATTTTTCCCAACATGCAGAGTGCACTGGCATAAAAAAAGAAAAAAAAAAATACTGCATGACCCTGGCATAAACTTATAAATATTATCATACTTAAAATGGTCACTAATTAAATAAACCAGTCGTTAAATTATTTGAATCCCACCACCGTATACATAGAATTTAGTTAAAATCAGTCAGAATATAAATTATAACCAATACATTTACATTTATGTCCATACATTCATCTCGGACGACATCGGACAATAATACTCAAACTGTACTCAAACAATAATTCCTTATTGTTTGAGTACAGTGATACCCCAAACTTACGCAATAGGTGGGACTGAGCGATAACCGCGTAAGTCGGGGTATAATTTCGCAATTCGTGTAAAATCGAAGTTGGATGTATGTAAGCTAATAAATGTTCTCGTTAATCTTATCTCGTCTTTCGATTCGTTCACGGTTATGAGAAATCACCACATAGAGTCTCTCGATTCTCTGTAGATATAACAAACACAGAAATAAATAACGCAAAATAAATTGTAGCTATGTGTCGATTCTACGCTGCATGTCCGAACATGTAAGCCGAACAATAGTGTGGGGGAAGTGAGTAATCGAGAACTGCGTGCCGCTCAAACAAAAGATGATTCGACAAGATTTGAAAATCGCGTAACTCCGGGTTCGCGTAAGTCGAGGTATTACTGTATATTACAAAACACATTTTCTATAATATTCAACAAAGTGTATAAGAAAGTTGACGTAGCAACACAATTTCAATTATATCACCAAAATTATTTCCATACATCTTATTCTTCGGTAGATCATACCTTTCATAATGTATTTGTTAAAAAAATAAAAGCTTGTTTACTGTGTTATTGCATCATTGTCTGTAAATAAGTGATGATGTCAATTACTCTCTTCCTGGCAATGGCTTATCTGTGACAATTGTTTTACACATTCATATAAGTACCTAAATTTGTATATTCGAATACAGTACGTGTATATGAACACATGTACTTGTAGCTTAATAACATATGAATTAGTATATATGGCATGATTCTGATTAAATATTAACAGATCTTCAGCGTGAGAATTCATATTACACGCCGATAATTATAAATTACCTGTAAAGACTACTTATGACGTAAAAGATATAAAATTAATCATTAATTTGAATTTCAAATGAAAACAAAAAAAATTCTTTTTCTTTACCTAATTCGATACGTCAAACGAAATATTCAAATTATTCTGACGTCACCTTATCCTTAAAATATAAACATTGAAGTATTTATATATAATAAATCGATCTTTTCTTCGACATATGTGAAAATATTTTGATGTAAACTCAAGTTAAAACTAGCCACCAATAATATCCAACAGTTTTACCCTTCTCGAACTTTCTAAGATCATCTGTTACACCGGAACGTTTCGATATTTGGTTTAGTTTGCACGGTTTACTCCGAACGCTGCCACTCCGGTTATAATTATTTGGTATTAAAATCGATGGTGTACTCGGTGCGAGTTTCGTTAATAGAGTGCATCGAACGTAATTTCCGAACGGTACGAAAGAATTTTTCCCGCTTAAATTGTTCGCAATACTTCTGATATAACAGAAAACAGTTCAAATATTTTAGTCAATTTTAATAATTATCAGTAATAAATAATTTCTAATATTTTCTTATTTTTAGTAACTAAGATTTTATATTTAATTTTAAAAAAATTAAATATAAAATCTGGCTGCCAGGTGGCGATAATAAAACCGGATACGTTAGTAAAACCGGATGGCTTTCGTATGTTATTTATTTCGCGCTTCACCCGCGTGAAGGGATCAATTGCCTGGAAGGGCTGGCAACGTGGAGTTTTCCGGGTTTTCTTCAAGTCTGTAATGCCTGAATAAGGGCAAGTAACCCTTAAAAGACTTCCCGGAAGGTATGATTCTCCCGTTCTTACGTAAGCCAAGAAGTTAAAAGCTTCGGGCGGATTATCGGATGCTAACGCCATTGCTCTTTCGGAGTATTATTGCCGGAAAGGCTGCACACTCCATATAAACCAATGAGATAGATAGATAAGGGGTCAACTATAGTAGAAGCCCTTCCACTTGTTTTGATATTATTTTGATAGCCGAGGCGATGAAGTTGTCTTCTGTCATTTTGAAATCAAAATTTTGAAAGTTTTTACCTGATAATATATTGGGTTTTACTTCATAAATCCCAGTAGAGCTATTTTGAGCCAAGCCATACTCAATTTAAAAAGACTGTTTTAGTGTCTATAGAACGAATTAAAATAAACAGAGAAGACACGCGATATTGCACATTCAAAGTTGTAAATGTTCAAATTTAGTTGTATTATTCCTAATTTTTCTCGGGTCGATGTTCTCCTCTTTTAAAATAACTTTTCTTACTTGCGATACATGAAAATTCTGATTTTGTACATTTTATCCCACACTTATGTTTGTATTATCAACCAACGATTTTTTCATTTTTGTCTTTTTCTGCCAGAAAGACAGTAAGATGGATTTTTAATCTTACTTATCGTGGTATCGGTTGAGTAGTGAGAGACGGAGCCCGACGTATATCCGTGGCAGATTGCCCATAAAAAATTTATTCTCGGGATTTTTTTTACCGGTCAGGATTTGATCGAGTTACCCAGAGCGATAGGCTGACCCTTAACTGCTTCGGCCAGGTTAGGTTAAGAAACGGTGTTTTTAAGTTGTAATAAATTAAACACACAAAAACATTTCAACAAGAATAAAAAGGATGATAACCTTTTAAATTAACATGAATCAAAAAATCATTTAGAATAAAATGTTATTATTTTTCAAAAAAAAAGTATTAAAAAAAATACAGAAAATTAAAGAATTTCATTTGAAAATGTAACGTTACTTCGTTTCCTACCCACAAGGGAGAAAAAGTTGCTGAAATTTCGTGATTGAGAACACTACTTGAACATAATAAACTTTCATATGACACTGTTTTAATTTACCGTCTATTTTAGGAAATAGTTCCAATTGAATGTGTTACTATGACACTTATATAACTTATCAGTGCATTAGAATACAAGAATAACTCATTTGGGAATATGTGTTATAACACTGATTTGCTTTAAATTTTATTTATAAGTTTACTCTAGTCACGAGTATTTTTGATTTAATACAGGCTACTAACATAGTTTAAAAGTTAACCTAAAATCTTTAAATTTTTGCATAGTTTATGTATTTAAATGCATTTCAATTATTTATGCAAATTCATTACTGTACATAGAAATCGATTTATACTTTACATAATGAATATTATTTGTGCTTATAAAAAATAACTTAATTGAATTTCGATTAAAAGTAGCTCCTTTGATTTGCAAATTGAATTACCGGCGATCTAAGTTAAGGTCTTTATGTTCTGAAAACTCAAAGACAATACATCTGAATATCATAGAAGAGTAAATCATTACTAATGTGAGTAGCAGGGGGCCACTGGGTCGAACCCTAATGACCGCTTAATCTGCACGGGCCTAATAGACCCGGGCCCTTAGTCTCGAGTTTTTCGTGTTGTACTCGAATTGACGTCATCGAACTCACTCGTGTTACTGTGACTCACATAATCGGTAGTCTCGAGTTAGACCCATCGAGCGAGCTCGAAAGGCGAGCGGAAGTAGGTCATATTCACTTGTTTACGTGTATCGTTAAGCATGATGGGATTATTTACAATGCATCTGGGTTTGCGACTATACTGATTCGACCAATCAACTTTACTGTAACAAGTTGTAAACAAATCAACGTGAATTAGTTTACACGTGTTATAGTTAAAAGTTTTGTCCTGTAGCAAAATGGAAACCTCCAATATTTTATTTTAAAAAAGAAACGAAGAACAAAAAGAAGTATTAGTAACATATATAGAAAATAATAAGAAAACGAAAAATATAAAATTCGACAACGAATTTACAAGAAAAAGACAATTTGATTTGTGGAGAGAATTAGTTCTAATTATGTATTGGAGCTAAAAAATCCGCCGTGTAATAGAAAAAGTATTTTAATTTAATCCTTTTTTCATATAGTTTTCTTCCTTGATCTCGTATTAAATTGTTTTGTTTATTAAGATTACTTATTAATCAGAACTTAACACTAATGATTAATAAATAATCTTAATATAGTGTCTATGCTCTTAATAATTTATACATATAATTTACTATCATTATAATTCTTTTTGTCGATGAATAAGCTACTTTTTATTTTTGGAAAAATTTGCTATATAATTTTATCAATTATGAATTAAAATTTTTTATTAGTGATGACTTGACATAAAAAGAAATGGCATCTACTCGTGTTCGAAAAATTCGTTGATTTCTTAAACAACTCTTTCGGCTCTTTCTAACGCTTCGATTAATAGCGTATTTGTCAGCCATTTTCACTTTTGTGTAGCGATCTCACATGCTCGACTCAACGTGAGTAGCAACTCGCATGGTGAGATGGGAAAGCATGTGAGTTATAACTGGAAACTACCGATTTGACGTCAGAGTGTGAGATGGTACCACGTGACACCTTCAACACGTTGGGAGTTGTAACACGAAAAACTCGAGACTAAGGGCCCCGCTCTCAGTTGTCGGATGGCTTGTTTTGTCGGATGACACCAATATGTGCAAACCGAGGGGATAGAACAAGAGTTTCTCCCACTTACCGGCGCGCTGTCAGAGAGTGGCTATAGGAGGGCAAAAGGAGTGGGAGGCGTAATGAAGTCGTGATGAGATGTCGATAGTACTTAACAAGAGTCATTAAATTAGGAATAACATATTTAATATAAACTTAAATATAAATACAAATACATTAAAATTTCACATTAATTCTAAACAATATGAAAGTGATAATTATAATAAATTCCGAGTCGCGACAATATCGAACAACCGATGTCCGTCTATTCCGTAAGTGGGACCATCAAAGGTCCTCGACACAAAATATGACTAAGTCCTATCCAAAGGAACAGATAAATAAATTCAAAGTTCCGAGCATATCGGTAAACGACAATTTTCTAAGTCTCGAGTATATCGATAGACAATATTTTCTAAGTCCCGAGTATACCGAGAGAGAGTGAAGTAAAAACAATCTAAGTATTTACCTCTTTAGGTCGGCGATCAGAAACCTTGAAGTCCTTCCAGAGTAGACGCTTGTAGTCTTCTTCCTTCGATGATCGCCTCGAGATCTCCGATCATTCCCCTTTTATACTTTTTTAGCGTGGGAAATCTCGGGGATTCTTCTGACGCAAACTGTCACTTCTCCCGATTTATGACAGTCTCCCCCGTCATGGGTGACGACAATGCAGACATCGCTTGACCAATTAATGTTAAATTCGTCATCACCTGGGGAGATGACTGACCATTTTTGGTAATGTTCTCACCGTAAGGGTGCCCTTGTAGGTGACCTCTTGTCTACTCTCAATACAGGAACACCCATCCGTCTCCGTCCACCGGACACCCGCAGGAGACTACTCTTTTACAAGGTGTCTGCGGTGTGACCAATTAGCAAAAACAAACAAACGTCCCGGGGAGAGGGGAGTTCTTCCGCGGTCGCCTCGGACGACTTCGTCCTAGGGATGACCTTCTTGACGGACGAATTACGCAGTTCATTATCCGGGGTCTATTCCTCGGACATTAGGGTGAGAACGGGAGAAATAACGGAAATAATGACGAGAGAAATAAAAAGGAATTTCTCATACGTTAGTCAGAATTTCACACTAAGCACCTTTGGCTGCTGAGAAACATTTATTTGCTTATACACTAATGTTTTTATCCTAATGCGTAATAAAGTGACTGAATATTGGAACTTCGGTTACACACGATTCTATAGTAGAAAACATTAAATATACGTCATTGAAACATTAAAAAAACAAGTTCTGTAATTTTTAACACCTAAATATAGCTTAACACACTAAAAATTTCTATCAAAAAGCTTTTTTTTTTTTTTACAATGAACGTCTTTGCTGATGGTGATCTGTCTGCATCTCTTGCAATAAGTTTTGTTTTATTTCCAACAATCGATTCAGTATTATTCTGAAATAATTATTAATTTATATTACATCTAATGACAGTAATTTTTCTCGTGATTGTATGATGAGAGATAAACACTTTATGGTGTTTTTCTAATTTTTCCCAAGAACAGAGCTGTAAATTTTTTAACTACTGTATGTAAAGGCATGTGTATCGGATAGCTGTGGAAGATTAACTTTGATTTGCTTCTTGAAAGAACTAAAGTAGTATCTAGACTGTCAAAACCTAACATTATTCGCAATTTCTATTGATATTTGGCAACTGCTCGATAAAAGTATTGAACTGAATTTGTCACCACTTGACCCGATTGAAAAGTTTCTGCCATCGAAAATCTAAAATGGTTGGTCCCTCTTTCAATTTCTCGTCACCCTCCGTATACATCTTTCAGGATTCACTTCTTCATAACTCCGCCGACAGAATTATAATTAGAATAATAAAAATCAATGGTAAACAATTTACTTTTCTAAATTTACTTCAGTGTAATTTTAGTTACAATTATATATTTAATCAGTCGTTCATTAGCTCATTCTAATTTGTTGATTCTGCTATTAACTATAATTTATTTTTTAATATCCACACACAATAACAAAACAAACTTAATTCTGTTTATTCTTCTAATTTGAGAAATTATTGCAAATTTGTGAAAAGTATGATAAAAATGAATATAGTTAACTGTTTTCATTTAACCGAGAAATATTCATTTTAAAGATCTCAACACATTTTTCTTGAAATTTTGATGAATTCAACTTCACTAATCCAGAAAACACAGAATGCAAAAGTTTTGCCATCTACAAAGGAAAATTTGTAAATATTATTAATTATAATAATTATTTTATTCATATTTTTTAAAATTAACGACAGTTCGTTAATAGTCACGAGTATATTAAGATACATGTATTTTAATTTTGAAGTGCCTGAGTATATTGTGCCTAAATATTGAAAAATCAAAATCAGTAAACCTACCTTGAAAGGAATTCTGTTATTGATGCAGAAGAAACCTCCAATCGACAGACAGAGAGAAACTTTACCAAATCTCTTCATGAAGTTCAATATCTAAAAACAATCAGTATTTAAAATTAAATTAAGTAAATCAAATTTCATTTATTATTTAAAAAACTTATAAAAACTTTAAGCTTTTCTTGCAATTGTAAATCACAAATTGCAAATTGCCGAATATCTTGAAATCCGTTTTCCATCTAGAAATTTAAAATTATATTAATATAATAAATATAACCAAAGTATGATTAAATCTGATGTACAAATACCGTAAAAGCGATGCAGCACAGCATACAGCCACCAATAATGCAAATGAATGATGAAATAATCATCAACGCGAAGATCGAAATTTTAAAATACCCATGCATATTAAGATGCAAATAGGCGTAATAGGTAAAGCTCGTTCCCCAAATTATTCCGAAGTAAAGAATAACGGCAACGATTTTGAATTTTGTGTTGAACTGATTGATAAAAGTCCACAATTCTTGATGACGAATCATCAAATTTTCTAATTTTGTTTTCACATTTCTGTCGGTTCTTTTTATCGAAAGCAATTCGCGAAGAAGTTCTTCGAACTCTTTATGACAGATAAAGAGCATTAAAGCAGCTAAGAGTAAAACATGTGATACTCCTCCTGTAAGAAAAATTGTTCCAGCTCCAGTTCCAACAATGCATAGCAGAGATTCAAATTGAAAGTGTTGTTTCTTTACTAAAGCAGGATAATACAAAGTTAAATTTAAAGTTTGAAAACCAATTACCAATGTGATGACAATCAAAGACACATAAAGAGAGACGTTTCTCAGTAGAGCGTTATTCTCGAGAATCATTTTTTCATAGAAGAATCTATTTCTTAACCTGGTTATTAGATTGATCTTGTTGCGGCTGGAAAATGTTAGAATGATTGAACACGTGAGCCACATAAGTAGAAATGTAGGCTTAATTATAGCAACATTTCCTTTAAATGCATCATACAATCCAAGACACAACGCGTATTCACCTAATCCCGGTAACGTTTGCCATAAGAAAAGAATAGTGATTTGCCAGAATATCAACTGAACAATGTTAATGTAAATCTTTTTCAATTTCAAACATTTAAGTTCGTTAATTGGCTGATTACAGGAACAAATTTCAAATGGATCCAATCCAAAAATGAGGATTGTTGTCCAACATGGTTCGAGGAAACAATTCATGCAAACTTCTTCGCCATTCGAATTCATGTTTCTCTTGTTTCTGAATGTATGAAACAGAACGTAATGGAAAATTACTGAAAATTGCGATTTATATAATGACATTTGCTTCCATCGACCGAAACTCTACCTGATAAAAATATTTTAAAATGAATCTAATTAATTTCCTCTATACATTTAAAGCTAATTGTCATTCTATATGCAAACGCATTCTTACTTAATTTGTTTGCACTGCTAATTGAAACGCATTTACTTGTTTACCGCAACAAAATATGTATTCATATTATGAAAATTCAGATTTTATTAACATACTAAAACGAGATGAATTAAAATATTAATGGGCACTTGCTGTAGAATTAGTCTTTAGCTGCAGATTAATAACGTTCACACATGATACAGGTTAAACCTGCATGTATTTGTTTAATATTTTTTAAAATTTATTCTATTGAAAATTGTCAGAACAAATTAAAATTTATAAAAATATACTCGGTGTTCAAATAATTCGGGATATAATTTGGATTTTGGAAAAGATTCGTTATTAATTATTAACAAAATTATATAGTTATTACATAAAGAATAAATTCTACAAAATACACATGTAAAAATAAATGCAGAATTTTTGTAAAATATTCAGATTCGTTAAGACGTTGTGTAACACGCAATTATATCGAATTATTAATAATATGCTCTTAAATATCATATTCGTGATGAATAATTTATAGTAGAAATTTCATGTTATTTGAGCTTTAATTTTCCAAATTATAAACTAGTTCTACAAATAAAATTACTAACAAAATCCAACCGTTTATAGTTAAGACAATTAAACAGCATTTGTATATAATAATTAATTTTTTAAAAATTCATTTATTGTGAAACAAGTCAAATTAAACATTTATTTTCACATGTTAATTTCTGATATGTACTATTAAAAGTAAAATGTTCAGTAATGCATAAGTCAGTCAAAGACAATAATACTGTTTAGGTGCGGTTTGAAAAAATCGTAGATACATAAATTTCTACTGTTGTCTGTCCAGCAGTCTTTCCTTAATTTCGAAAACGGGTAGAGGGGAGCAGGCATGGAAACCTTAACGGCAGTAGGTCTCAATTAACTATATATATACGAATGTCCTACATAAACATTATACTTTTCTTTAAACGATTCTTTGTACAAGGGAATTGAAAGTCTAGAGAATTAGTTTCTGCCAACTTATAAGCTGTGAATTGTTTTATGACTTTGTTTTTGTGACTTCAGCTTGCAGATGCTAGAATCAGTAATCAAGAATTACTTTGTTTTTGGCTCACAAGTTGGATAGGAAGATTTTCCTGGTCTTTGGGATGTGCGACGTGCAATTGGGTTGCATTGATATTTTGACCGAAATGAGGGCTACAAGTTTGTAATGTTAAGTAAAATCAATCGTCAAAAGAATTTTCCATTCAAAGTACAGTAAATTAGTGCATAGCCTACAGTTATTGGCTTAAAAGTAAGATAGATACTACATTAAAAGCATAACCGAACCAATCTCTTGCCGAGTACAGTGGGGACTGATTTATTCGTAATATTAGATGTAATAAAGACAGAATTTTTTCCAGTTCAATGAGAGTGACCGAAAAGTTGTAAATTTTGGAAATTTCCGTGGATACCACCTGGTCGTAAAACGAATTAGTTAGAAAACAAATGACAGACAATCTATTAACATTAGTAAATATAAAATAAATATTGAAAATTATAAAAAGATAGTTACGGTTAATAGATATATTATATCTAAATTTTTTTATGTTTTTACGTTATATGTTTTGATGTTATATGTTTTTTTAATCAAAGCAAGAATTGTCATTTAGAGCAGCGGTCCCCAACCTTTTTATCGCCGCGGACCGGTCAACGTTTGATAACTTTACCGCGGCCCACTGAGGGGGGACGTTGATTGTTCATATTTTACATTGATTTAATTTAATAATTTTAATTTAACTGTATTTAAACGTGCCTTCAAAATAAAATACAATTACACCAAAAAATGAATATAATGTGATTTAACATTTTAACTCACTAGAACGCTAAATCAATGAGAACCCTGAGCTTGTTTCTTTGCAACGAGACAGTTCCATCTGGGGGTAACAGAAGACAATGACACTCGAAGTATGTTTCTTGTGTCCAGTTTATTCCGTTGTTCCATCGTCTATTAAAAGTCGCACAAACCCGAGACAAATACACCATAGTAAATAAAATGGAAATAATTTAATGTTCCTTGGGCGGCCCGGTACCATTTGATCCACGGACCGGTACCGGTCCGCGGCCGGGGGTTGGGGACCACTGATTTAGAGGGCATCGGGAATCTATTGAATCTAATAACAGAGGTAATTATATTGAACTTGTTTATTTATTAACTTCTAGTTGTTTGATTCTGTTTGAACGAGTAAGCATTTTCTCAGAATTGTCCACCAGACAATTCTGAGAAAATCGCTCCCTCTACGTAAATCAAGGTAAAACTGTAAAAAATGTTAGATAATCGCTATTTTCGACGTTTTTCAGCTCCAATTTAGCTCTAATTTACATATTTACTGACGTTATTTAAAAGAATAAGTGTTTTGATAAAAACATTTCGAGATAAAATTGCCCGCAAAACTAAACTTTTGGTTTAATTATTTCCCGCTATTACGCAATTTAATAGAAGTAATGAGTTTCCCCGGTAAATTTTTCGACTGGAAGCTTTTGATATGACATCTAGTCCAAGTAAAGTCAAATAAAAAAAACGTTCTAAATGCATGTTGATCGGACTGAAAAGTTGGAAGAATATAAATTTTTTCAGTATTTTTATATTTAAAAAAATGTTAACTAAAGATTGAGCTGGGTTTGTGAGACTCACTGTGATTCACTGAGGGCTATTTCTCTGTGGTCCACCTTTCCTTGTAAATACTTTAAGATTAATCGTCTGATATTTTTTTTTTATCAATCAAAACTGACTTAGTGTAATGATTATATAATCTTGTATTAAACTCTTAACTTATGTTTTCTTTTCAATTAGCGTTTCTTTGATAAGATAAGGAATGATAAGACAAGGAAGTGGAAGCAATTCTCATCCCACAACAGTGCAGTTCTTATACTTGTACAGACTGATGACTGTGTACAGTTTGTTCTTCCTCCCAAACGAGCATCAGTTCAAACTGATCCTGGATCTTCCCTTATTACTTTAAAAAATCTTCATAGTCATAAAAAAAACCATTTAAGGAAGTTCAAGAATAACTGGAAGAACATTTTTACAAAATTTGCTTTCTAATCCAAGCCTGTCCTATGGAGATACTAGTGATAGTGAATTATTAGATCATGATTATTGTGCACTAGAAACATTTAAGTATATTCTACATTATTTAGGAGGTTACATTGTTTATCATCTACTACCATCACTCGGTTGTGACGAATGCAAAAATATATTAACAGCAAAACCTGAGGATGCTGCACCAGAGAAGGCATTTACATTCATCAAATCTGAAGGAGGTTTGTTATATCCAAGCTATAAGCTTTGCCAATTGATGTACTGAGCAGAAAGCAAAGTATGTAAAAAATTAACAAACCCAAACATGGATGTTTATTTTTCAATAATGGATATTATATTAAATCAGTGTTCTGTTACATTGATGATAGGATGTGACAATGCTGGTCACAAGTCCTACTTGACTTCCAGATTTTTGCACTTTTTTTGTTACCTGTCGATTGCATTTTTCACGCAAACGATTAATCAATCATTTATTTCATCAGTTGAAAGTAAAAACCATAGAAAAATTTTTCACTTAAAGTAAATTTTAATAGCGCAAATAATAATAATTGTTATTATTATTATGTATAATATAATTTGTTTGTATGTATAATAAATTTTTAACGTATAATAAATTCACATAATAGCACAATTTAATAATAATAATACTATTGTGTCAGTTTTGTTCCTTGTCATTTATTTAACTAAATATAAAATCAGCG